AACCTTATCTGCCTGTCTACCCCAGAACCCCCAAGGAAGCTTGGCCTTTCCTGGCACACAGAATCCTCCTGAGAACTGGCGTCTTTCTGCAGTCAACAGAAAAGATGGAATGAAAACCACACAGATGAAAAGTCATGTCATTTATTAATAATTTCTTTTTTTCTTCTATAAATTGGAAGGAAAAAGTCTTTGGTGACACTCTCTATAAAACAATCTATCTTGGATGGCGAAACCCAGACATAAAGTTACACAGGTCAGTGAAGTAAATCAAGATCTATGGCTTCGTATTTTCTCACACGCGCTCTCTCACACATACTTGAGGGCTTAATTATGCTAAGTCATTAATACTCTATAACAAATGGGGAAAACACTTCAGAAAAGACCTGTGGTGACACTACAAAAACATTGGCAACATATTAGAAAACTCTGTCCCAAATGTACATCGTATACAAAATAAGGTATACTTTTGTTTTTTGCGTTACAATTTGCCACCTAAAATAGTTCCAGTTTTTGATGTCTTTCTTTCTGCCCCTCAACATATCCTATACATATTGTTCTCTCAAAATAAGTACACAAGGTTCATTACATGGTAACCAGGTCATTTGCATGGCCCTAGTTTTAGTAATAGTTACAGCCAAAAGGACGGGGATGTATTCCTGTAGGAGAAGAACAGAAAACTATTGCAGAAATCAAATGGCCTGAGGCCTAAAAGGCAAATCATTACAAAACCAGAGTGACTGAAAGGCTAGCCTGACTTGATTTTAAACAAGGGTGAGACTGTGCTATCCTGAGGGCTCAGCTTTCTCAAGAGTTGCCTTCTTCTCCTAGTTACTGGGCCATGTAAGTTCCAATTCTGGGTAGCTCATTGAGGTTCCTGATATAAAATGTATTGGAACTCTAGACCACTGACAACTACAATCCCTACTAGGTAAAACTCATGGAGACAAAAGCCTTTGATTTTTGGAAAGGGCAAAAAGGGGAGAGGTGGTTTTGAGGAGTCACGTCCATCATTACAATTATGGTGTAAATAACAGCTTTTTTATCCAGAGGTTCTGTACAGCATTATTGAACTGATGGGAGACACCACTATCTTAGGGTACTTAATCCCCCAAGCTTTAAAAAAAAAAAAAAGATGTGGGGCCAAGCATGGTGGCTTACACTTGTAATCTCAGCACTTTGGGAGGCAGAGGCAGGTGGGTCACCTGAGGCCTGGAGTTCGAGACCAGCCTGGCCAACACAGCGAAACCCTGTCTCTACTAAATATACAAAAATTTGCCCAGTATGGTGGTGCACGCCGGTAATCCCAACTACTAGGCAGGCTGAGGCAGGAGAATTGCTTGAACCCAGGAGGTGGAGGTTGCAGTAAGCTAAGATTGCACTACTGCACTCCAGCCTGGGTGACAGGGCAAGGCTCTGTCTCAAAGCAAAAAAAGAAAAAAAACAGACTTGGTGTCAAAGAATAAACTAATCTCTTTATGCTGAAGTTCTAATACCAAGTGAGACAAGTTTAACACAGTGTGATATTAATGCTTATTTGCTGAGAACTTAACTCAAAACAACTTTGTCCCTGTAAGCATGCCTGAGAAAATGAGGCTGGTGGTCAAAGAAATTTCTTGGTTAAATCTGGCCAAGAATGACAAAACCATCTGAAAGGTTCTTGTCCGTAGTCGCTGTAAATGGGAACTAGGTAAATGAATTCAGCAACTGGGGTCCTGATGTACTGGCTGCATGTTGATTATATTCACAATTAAAAGGCAGGAGCATTTTTATTTGAGAGTTCATGGCAATAACTGCTACTTTTAAATACTGGAGCTCTCAGAGACCCAAGGGAACACAAGACACTTCCAGGTCTGGGAAGTTTGCTTGGCTTTTGCATCCACAATTCAGCCTTGTCCAGCAAGAATCTCATTCAGATTCCAACCTAGTAAGGCTGTCTTTTCCCTGATCCTGCCCTCTAAACAGGTTTGTTCTTAAATCAAGTGCCCTGTTTTTTTTTTTTAATAAAAAAAAAAAATAGTATATAGGCCTATTCACATTCATTCATCTCACCCCTGATTAAAGTTCAGTAACCTTTATGAAAGGCCACCAGCATAATATTCTTTCAAGTCACCAGGTATTTGAGAACCACCAAAATAAAGGCTAACATAGCCTACTGTAATGAAAATCAAAAGTCATTCTAAAAGGGAAATTGAAGGATGCAACCGCATTGATCCTTCATTGAGCACCATTGGTAACAAGAAGAAATTAAAGTGTAATGCATTTAAGATTCCAGTAACAAGCTTTCCCTTTTTTCTGAAGCATCTATCTGAAAATGTGTTGATACGACCAGGTAGGCCCAACTAGCTATGCTATCTTTTGTGGTATGACTATCGTGATCATTTCATGGATTTTTCTCTACAGTCTCAAGTTTGAGCCACTTTGCTAGCTTGAACAAAGGTGATCCGTATTAATGTGTTGGTAAGCTTTGATATTTATAACCCTTTCATATAAATAAATAAATACATAGCCAGCTTTACAAAAATTACTTTTAAGATCCTGTGTCTTAATGTGGAGCTGGGAAAAGATGCTGTGTGGAAATCCGTAAGTGGCTGAGTCCTCTAGAATTTCTGTAAGCAATTCATTATGTGGTTGGCACTGAACTCTTGCTTGGACCTTGGCTTCTCTCCAATGCAGCACATGTTAGCCCACTTCGGGACCCCTAGTTATCATTAAAGTTGACCAGGAGATAACTCCTGACACCCTACAGAGATGGCTATGATTTGTCAACTTGCTGCAATGCAGTACAACTCTTTCCTAACTGAATTAAAATTACATATTACTGTTGAGCTTCACTGATTTGTTAAGCATTGTTCTATTCCCAGTCTTATATTCCAAATGGGAGAAGAACACGCTAGCTCACATCCCAAAGAGATTTGCTCAGAGAATGACATAAAATGAAACTGTGGAGACTTAAAGTGGACGAAAGGTGTGTCATATCCTGTTCTTATTTATAATTACCATTATTCTTCACATGACACACGTTGTTTGTGGAAGACATGTGTCCTGTGAGCTTGGTGACAGGTCAGTCTGGCAAAGCAGGTCCTTGAATCCACTTGTGTGACTGACTGGTACAATTAGGGACATTGCTTTGCAAGCCAACATGACCACCTAAGTTTCAAGTTAGTTTTGGGGTCACTGAACAAAATATTGCATTTATTTTTTTGTAAAGGAGAAAGACACAAGAATAATTTGCCAATCCTGAAAAAAATAATTTAAATACACATTCGCAAAGGCCAAATGAATAAAGATTAACTGCTAATCTTTTAACTTACTGAGAAGTGCAGCTTAAATGACACAAAACCTATAAGACCAAACGTTTTATAGAAAGACACAAGTGCAAGTACCATGGACTTAATAATTATTTTTCAACAAATGCATAAAAGATAATCACATCTACTTAAGGGAAAATGTCACATGTTTGAGAATGGACTACGGATGGGTCCAATTAGATGAGAGAGGTATTTAGGGAGCTGTTCTGAGTCATGAGGCTGCAGAGAAAAGCCTCTCTTCAATTGAACTTCACTGTCTATGCACGTCTCAAAACACCATCTGGATATGTGGGCCCTATTCCTTGTTCTGCAGCTAGGTAGCCTGTTGAGTCACCTCTCTGGACTTCCGCAAACACTTTCATTCCTGTTTACAGCATCATCCCCAAGCTATCATTGCAAGTTCCTCTTCCTCTCCCAGATGTTTACAAAGAAAGGATGAGGTAAAGTCCACTGGACTTATGGTTTCCACTGACCTAAGATGGCCACTTGAAGCTATCAGAACAAAATTATCTGATGAACTTTTCTTCTAAAACAAAACTGAAAATAAATGGTAAAGAAATATGAAATGTATGAGAGTTTGAGGGAGGGACTCTCAAGTGCTTATTGTTTATTCTGCATACCAAGTGGTAAAACTCAATAATATCTTTCTCTTCCCTGTTTTCTCTGGCCTCTTTCAAGTAGAAGAAAGCATTTAATATCAGAAGCCTCCATTTTTCATAATAGAGTTAGGGATATGTTTTTTTTCAGTTTATACTTGGAATTTAACAATAATTATAAGCCCAAGATAGCATTTTCAGGGACAGAAATGTTCTTTTCAGCAAGAAGCATAACTAAACTTCTCCACAGATTTAAAAATTAAAAGTACAAGAAACTGTATTCACATTTGTTGTTATTTTGTTTGCCAGATTCTTGCTCAAAACAATGTTTGACTGAAAATGGCATCAGGGTCCCAATGGCTAGACACCTCCTCAGTTACTCTGCAGCAATTCTCTTGTTCATTGGTGTGCATTTCCACCTTATTACCCCTGTTTCTTTCTCGATAGAGAAACTCTGAAACTTGAGATTTTCACAAACATTAAAGAGTTCATCTTGTAAATAATCTGTTCTCCCCAATATATTCATTCTTCCTTGGCTTCTAAACCAAAGCCTTTTCCCAGTGCTACACAGACTTAGGTCAATGGTTGAATCTATAACTGTGCCCACACCCCTGCAAGTATTGGGTTACTGTTGTGGGTCTGTATTTCCATCTCACTAACATGCTGGTGGGTTATCCAGATGATTCTTTGTGCAAACTGAACATTTCTTAATTATACTAGTATTTTCTTGGTACTAATACTAATTTCCCCCCACCCCCCAATGAAAAATGATTATCATATGTATCTATCTCAAACATAGAGTTTTCAGTTAGAACTGCCTACCTGGAAGTCGTCATACTTTATTTCATGCAGCGACATTTTAGAGATAAAAGTTCAAGTGGATTTGAAGATTCGAAGTGGAAAACAATTTGCACTGGCAAAGTTGAATAATGACGTTACAACTTATGCTCAGCTATTTCTTGATAATGGGTAGAGTGACTTATTGTGTTTTCCATGAAGTCTGAACTTTTGAAACTGCAGGACACCCTACATGGCCATGACAATGATGTCTGTGGGAAAAGGAATAGCAGCTTTGAAATATTCACAACCAACACAATTTTGATTAAACAAAGAACTCTGGTTTTTAATAGTTTTGATCATTAAAAAAGTTTAAACCTGCATAGCAATCATTTCAAAAATAATTATTTAATGTTCCATAATTAAACTGTACACAACCTAGTCTTGGGACACAGAAGCCAGTGAGGTGAGTTTGGAGCAGTCCGGTGCAGTCCCAGGAGCCAGGAGTCGAGTTCTCATTGGCCTTTTTTTTTTTTTTTTGTCATTCGGCTCATCTAAGTTTTTGGATAGTTGGCACAATCTGGCTCTGCTGATGAGTGGATCTGCACTGGGAAGAGAAAGCAGCTTGACCCCCGTCCCTTCTCGCTTCCCCTCCCCCACTTGGCCAGATTCCTCAAAGTCGCTCAATGTCTCGGTATTTCTTCCTCAAAATAGAGACCTGGTCTTTAAAGAGGACGGGGTCGAGCCTCATCTGAGAGTGGATCAGCGGCATGTAGCCAAACCAGCTGGCAAACGTATTCATGCAGCTCTGTCGCTGGGCAAAGTGGTCAGGGTCAGCCCAACGGGAAGCCCGAGAAGTCTAGGGAGAAGGAGAGAAACAAGGATGATGATGAGAGAAACGCAAAGTGAGATGGAAACACTGCAGAAAATGAAGTCAGGCAAATGAGTGAGCAGCAGAGCTCGAGGTCTGCCCCGGCCACCAAGTCTCACCATCTATGCACCTGCTGAAAATGCAATCGCTGATGCTGGTTTTTCCCAAGGTATGCTACGTTCCTCAGCGTTAAAAACACAGTAACAAAGATTCATGTTGACTTTAACTCTCTAAAATTTATTGACTAATCCTCTGGTCAGTCCATGACTTAGCAACTGAAGCTCAAGTACTACAATGACTCAATTTAAAACTTCTCTTTGCTCTTGGGATCAGGTACTAAGATTAACGATGTGTTTATGCTTTCAAAGATAGTTTTCCATCCTTCCTGTTTACATAGTTGATTTAGAAATACCAACCAACTTTGAGAAGTCTACCTTGAGAAGTCTATCTTTCTCTCCATCACTTCCTCCCTTCTACTATCTCTTTACGTTTATAAGGGTCCTACTAAATCCTTTGTTAAAAGTTCACGTATATAGTTGAAGAACAAAATAGCACCTTTTACATGTCAGTCAAGGCTAGTGTTATGCAGCATCTAAAATTCCATTTTCTCTTCTGTAGCCTTCCCATTGACGTGACTCCATGAGGATGAGAAGGGGAGATTCAGTGGTAAATAGGGCATGTTGCTGTAAAACTAACTTTATACTAAAATCTCAAAATTCTGTTCTTCTCTTAACCCAAGAATTGTTGGCTTTCCTATTCAACTAAAACCCCCAAAGGTTACTTTTTAAAGGGCAATCAGCCCTCCAAAGAATCACTGCTCACCCAGAATAGAAAAAAGATTAACTTTCGACGAACAGAAAAGATGGCTACCATCTTTTTAGCTCTCTGTGTTGCCCCTAAAGTTGGTTAAATATTTTTAGATCATGCAAATGATTGGCATTGATTTAAAAAGAATGCCTTAAATGACTGGAGTGCTGAAATTTAAATAGAATGACTAAGCACATTGTCTTTAAATCCTTGTTTTTATGAATATGGAAAAGATGGGCTGCCCAATTATGGGGAAAAAACCCACAAGCCCATTTATGTCAATAGGCAACTCTTTAATGATGTATATGTATGCATGTGTGTTCAATGTGTTTGTTGTGCTCACATTGTTAGAAAAACACTTTCATGGGAAGATACATTTCAGTGTGAGAATCAGTAAGAGTCACTTTAAAATCCCAGTGTCAACATGCTCAAAAATAACACTGAAGATAAACACAAATGTCAAGTTTTCTCTGAACAGCAGAATAACAAACAAAACACTATTTGTAAAGTGTTTTCATGGAGTTCATTTGAATTTCACAACAATCTGGTGAAGTATCTACCCAGGTAATAATATCCCCATTTTATAGCTGAGGAAGCAAGTTCAAGAAAGTTAGAGTTATTTGTTCAAGGCTAGAGAGGGGCAGAACTCAAGCTTCATTCTTCAGCCTTTATATGAGGAGAACTCGATAAATCAGAGAAAGATATCAAATGGAGCTGACTGGTTGAGTTCATATCATAGTAGACAGTCCTAAACGTAACTTGTGTTGACCCTAAATGGATATGCGTTTGTGGGCCTTTTTTTTTTTTTTTAAAAGGCAGAATCTCACTCTGTCACCCAGGCTGGAGTGCAGTGGCATGATCTCAGCTCACTGCAACCTCCACCACCCGGGTTCAAGTGATTCTTGTGCCTCACCCTCCCAAGTAGCTGGGATTACAGGTGCACACCACCACACACGGCTAATTTTTGTATTTTTAGTAGAGATGTGGTTTTGCCATTTTGCCCAGGCTGGTCCTGAACTCCTGAGCTCAAGCAATCCGCCTGCCTTGGCCTCCCAAAATGCTGGGATTATAGGCATGAGCCACTGTGCCCGGCCTGTGGGTCATTTTTGATTGGCCCACTCATTCCCAAAGGGTGCCGTACTCAGGCAAAAATACTCATATATGCAACTAGAAATACTTTCTAGAGTTTACGCTCATTCTTATTAAAAAAAATTTTTTTTTAAAGTTTCATTGAATCATTCAGGTTATCATTTTGCTTCTAGATGTTAACATTTATCCTGAGTCAACCAACATCTATTAGAAAAGATGTTTTTCTTATGTAATAAAAGCCTAATCTTAGAGGATGATATCCATTTACTTTACCGGTCATACAAACATTAAAAAAATTACTGTGTATGATGGAAAGAAGGGGGGCAAATATAGTACCTGAATACACCTAGTTAGACCTAAGGTTAAATTTAGATTTTTCTGTAAAGATGTAAGAAATTACTAGAAATACTGTTTGGTAGAATTAGAATAATCTATGAAAACAGCACAAATCCACCCCATAAGAAGCCTTGTATGACTAGAGTTGCCTACTTACTGAGTGTTCTGAAGAACTCTGAGTAAAAAATATTTTTAAAATGTCATGTCTTTAAATAAGATAATATACAGTCATGCACCACATAATGACATTTCAATCAATGTTGGACCACATAGATGACTCTGGTCCCATATAACTGTAATACCCTATTTTTATTGTACCTATTCTGTATTTAGAAATATTTACATACAAAATATTGATCACTGTGTTACAGCTGCCTACAGTATTCAGTACAGTGACATGCTATACATGTTGTAGCCTAGGAGCAATAGGCTACACCATATAGCGCAGACGTGGAGTAGCCCTACACCATATGGCGCAGGTGTGGAGTAGCCCTATACCATATGGCGCAGGTGTGCAGTAGCCCTATACCATATGGCGCAGGTGTGCAGTAGCCCTACACCATATAGCGCAGGTGTGGAGTAGCCCTACACCATATGGTGCAGGTGTGCAGTAGCCCTATACCATATGGCGCAGGTGTGGAGTAGGCTGTCCCATGTAGGGCTGTGTAAGTACGCTTGATAATGTTCGGAGGGTGACAAGATCGCCAAATGATGCATTCCTCAGAATGTATCCTCATTCTTAAGAGATAAATAAAAATGTAAATAAAAATGTTTGGGCACATAATAGACGATACATCTTGCCTGAATTCGAATAGTCTCTCAGCTTTAAACATTCTTACAAATCCTCTTATCTGTTCTTTCCATAATTAGAAGGAAACAGAATTTTCCACCAGACTCTTGCTAAGGAGAGTTCTTTCGTCATAACCAATACCTAGAACAGTACCTGATAACATACTAAGTACTAAATAACTTTTTATAAGCTTTAAATTATTTATAAACTTTAAATTTTTGCTTACTAAATTTAGTGAATGAAAAACTGTCAGCTTAACTGAGGCCTAGCTAAGATTTCCTTTGCAAAAGCTATATTTGTATATGTTTTCCAATGCCTGCAAACAATACTCTCTTTAACATTCGTATATGTTTTCCAAGGCATATGCAAATCCCCTCAAAATTGAACTAATATAACCAGGTTAAAATATGTTCATTCAGATTAACCTCAATCCTGTTGGATACTCTATGATTTAACATGGGTGAATCTTAATGCTGTTTCTTAAGGTTTTTTATCTGTTTTTTCTTTTTCTTTTCTTTTTTTTTTTTTTTTTTGAGACAGAGCCTTGTTCTGTCACCCAGGCTGGAGTGCAGTGGCATGATCTCAACTCACTGCAACCTCTGCCTCCCAGGTTCTAGCGATTCTCGTGCCTCAGCCACCCAAGTAAGCTGGGATTACAAGCATGCACCACCATGCCCGGCTAATTTTTTGTATTTTTAGTAGAGACGGGGTTTCGACACGTTGGCAAGGCTGGTCTCAAACTCTTGGCCTCAGGTGATCCGCCTGCCTTGGCCTCCCAAAGTGCTGGGATTATAGGTATGAGCCACTGTGCCTGGCCAAGGTTTTTTATTTCTTACATATAGTAGGGGCTCTGCTCAAGATGAATAAAGATAGATGAAATTCAGCATATCCAGATGGACCTGATACCAAGACACCGGGGTGTACAAGGACAAGCAGTGGAATCCACAGACCCTGGGATTCAATTCCCAGTGACAACTTGTGGCAATATGCTTAAATTCACTAGATACTAGTTTTCTTAGTTTTCTTATTTGTAAAAAGAAAATGTTGGATTCTATTTCCTTGAAAATATCTTTAATGCTACAATTTTATAACTCAACACAATATTTTACTTCACTTTTATTTCACATATTATTTCAACTGTGTGAGGTAGAGTTCACCATTTCCATGTTAAAGATGAGTCAACTGAGTTTCAGAAGGAAACTGACTTGTCTACAGCTTATAAACGCTGATTCTAGAACTGAAAATTGAATATTGTGACTCCTGCTATGTCACCAAGACACAATTCAACTCAACTGCAAGCACCAGAAAACTGTGTTAAAGAGAGTATTGTTTGCTAGACATTAAATAAGGTACCTACAATCAACTTTCATAAGTTATTTGTAGGGCTTTAATTCTGCGGAGGGCCGAATGTTTGTGCCCCCTAAAATTTATATGTTGAAGCTTAATTCGCAATGTGATATTTGCAGGTGACGCCTCTGTGGGATGATTAGGTCATGAGGGTGGAGTCCTCACAAATGGGAGCAGTGCTCTTATAAAAGGGACTCCAGAGAACTCTCTTGCCCTTGTTTCTACCATGTGAAGACACAATGAGCAGAGGGCTGCCTATGAATCAGGAAACGGTCTCTTGCCAGACATGAAATCTGCTGGTGCCTTGATCTGGGACTTTCCAGCCTCTAGAACTATGAAAAATAAATGTCTGTTATTTAAGCCACCCAGTCAATGGTATTTTTGTCATAGTAGCCCAAATGGACTAAGACAAACTCTAGAGACATATCTTTCTCATGTCACCTTAAAGATTATAGGACAGCTTTATATTCTTGGCATAAAGATACTCTTAACCTGTGTCTTCCTAATTATCCCTGCACCAATCATATACTCTTTCCTAGCTTTCAGATGTGGTTCATTTCTGGTTTCTCCTCATTATATGCTCCTGGGTGGAACATCTAGAGGTGCATGAGTCCTCATTACCTGGGGCTGAACCACCAGTGAGTGAAGCAAGGGAAGAGGGCTCTTCTACACTCACTTACCTGTCCCATCATTGTCTCCTTATACTGCTTCTTCTGGGTCACTTTGATTGGAGGCAATTTTGTCACAGCAGACACCAGGAAGTTCATGAGAATGTCCTCACAATTGGCCAATTGGTCCACCATGTTCTTCAGGCTGGCTGGCAGGTAATGAGAGTACAGGTAGTGATAATATCTGTAAAAATCAAAGATGGGTTTCACAGGGGGCCATTATCACATGATGACAAGTGGACTTCTGAGACAGAAAACACATACCCATTCTTCGAATCCCTAAACATGTCATGAATGGTGATGACAATGATAATGATGATGACGATAACTATCACTTCTACAGTACTTGTTATATACCAGATAGTGTTCTAAAGGGTTTTACAAGAAATGCTTCATCTAGCCTTCAGAAGGAGCCTACAAGGCAGGCTCTATTATTACTCCCATTTTACAGATAAGGAAACAAGGCACCGAGATACAGACATACAGACATTGCTTGCCCAGTCTAACTCTAATATCAGACTGGTGAGTTAGAAAGAAAAACTAAATACTTAGATGGCAAGAGAAGTTATTTACACATGATCTATATATTATAAAGCTGCTTAACAATTTTAATCATTGGCTTAATCAGAACTGTATTCAATATTATCCCTTGACTCTGAGTCCAACAATAGACTGTTCTATATTTGTGCCCTTAAACCATACATATTTCAATCCTGTTAGAGCAAAATCTGAATTAATGGGGTGGTCAATCGTAATAGAAAACCCATAATTAATTTGAATTATTTCTCATCCTACTGTTTTTAAAATGTATTTATATACATATAGCATATATTTATAGGAAAAATCATTTGGGTGAATCAGATTCTTTGAGTGGTGGTGGCAGAAGCAATAGGAACAATGAACTTTCAAGAAGTGAAATCTCGAGACCAAGAATCAGTCAGCCTAAATGTTTATGCCTTGAGCATTTCCAAGCTATCCCTGAGATAGCAAAATTCCCTATTCTTTACTAAAAAAGACTAAGGCAAGATTGGTGTGTTCACCTTTACTATGACAGAAGAGCGGGGCTTTTGTTACTGGTTGAGTGGGGAATGTTATCTATCTACACTCGCTACTTTGGTAATCTTACTCCAGTCCCCTGGCTTTAAAGATCAAATATATGCAAACAATTGCCAAATTTGTATCTCTACCCGTGAGCTTTTTCCATATATCCTTTTGGATGTCTTAACATATCCAAGACTGAACTCCTATATTTTCTCTGATATTTGTTCCATCTGTAGCTTTCCTCATCGAATCTTCCAGTGCTTCAGGTCAAAAGACTTGGAGTCATCAACTGTACATCCAGACTGTCTAGACATCATGCTAAATCATCTTCAAAACAATCTGATCACTACTTACCACAGCCACCATTCACTTCCTGGTCCCAGGATCTCACCATCTCTTGCCTAGATAATGTCAATCACCTCCTAATAGGGCTTCCTGCTTCAACTCTAGGTCTCTTATAGCCTCTTATCAACATAGCATCCACAGTGGATGCATAAAAGAAAAGGTGGATTTCTCCTCCCTGTTCAAACCCTGTCCTCCTCTCCTGTCACTTAGAGAAAAAGTCAAGTCCTCATGATGGACATCAAGGTCCTGCCGGATTTATCACTGTGTTAAAACTGCCTATAGCATTCAGAGTACAGTGACATGCTGTACATGTCGAACCCTGTTCAAACCCTGCCCTCCTCCCATATCACTTAGAGAAAAAGTCAAGTCCTCATGATCAAGGACATCAAGGTCATGCATCCATGCCCCCTGACTTTTCTGACTTCCTGTCACCCATTCCACCCAGTCACAGTGGTCTCCTTGATGGTTCTCCAGTATTCTGCCTCAGGGCATTTATTCTCACTGTTCTCCTGGCAGAACACTCTTCCTGCACATATCCTCTTGACTAACTTCCTGTCCTTCAAGTCTGCTCAAATCTCACCTGCTCAATTAGAATCACCCTGGACACCCCCAACCTGCCCCATCTCCATCTTCAGAACTCCTGATCCTTTTCTATACTTTGTCTTTTGTTATATCACTTATTTCCTTAATAAACTATGGAATTATTATGTAGACTGTCTTCCTTTGTTAGAATGTAAGACCTGCATTGGCAAGGAATTTTTTCTACTTTACTCAATGATGAATCCCAAGCACCTAGAACAGTGCCCTTGGGTGCTGACTTAGGTATTTCCTTTTGTTGTTGTTATTCTAAATATTCAGCTACCTAATATGCCCTGAGTGTATTTTCACACTTCAGACCAACTGAAAATGTGACTCTACCATAATTTCTGGAAATGAAATATGCCAAGAGGTTTCGGTTTCAAAAACACACATTTGACACATTAGCAAAACTTAAGTGGGGATACAGACTAATTTTCCCTGATGTTGTTAACAAGATTTGGCCTTGGTTCCTATTTATGCGGCAGCCAATATAAAAAGCTACGTAAAGTCTGTAAGAGACATGTCCAGATTCCTCACTTGTGGTAAATAGCAGCTCCTGTCAACACCATGGAGTAGTCGTTCGTCCACTTTGACGTGTATCCCCACCGCTCCTTAGAGTTATCCCAGAAGTGGCTACGTGCGGGGTACCCCACAATCCTCTCGGGGAAGCTCTGCCACACTGTGAAGGCAAAATCCACCTGCAGGCAGAACACAAGCCAAACAAGCAATCAACAGCGTTAACAAATGTCAACAAAACATGACCTTCCCCCCACTAATCCATAATGCAAAATCCTGGGACTGTGGCGAAACATTAATTCTATGTATTCATCACCAAATTAAACTGACTGCTTGACATTTTGCCCCATAATTATGCACATTTTAATGTTTTCTGTTAAAGAAACTTCAGATTAGTGTGGAAATGAAAAGAAGAAAAAACATTTGCTGATATGCCCTTTAAAAATCCAGTCTGTTCAAGCTAAAACATAAGTTGAAAAAGCAGTTGCTTCTTTTCCCCCTCCCTCAAAGGTGCATGTGACCTGATTCACATGAGACACAAACACATCTGTTTTATAAATGAGACACTTCCCATGTATATCCAAAGAATGAATATACAACATATATCACACCCAGCATATATCAAAGCCAAAGTGCCTAAAATAAAAGCACCCTCTTAAGAGTAAGAGAAATGACATTTGAAAACATAACAAGTTCTTACAGGAATACAGAGCAGATATCACAAAGAAAACATAATTCAGGCCTCTTAGGTTTGAAGATGCACAGTTTAAGAGAAACGAGAAGAAAGCATCCACAGCGAAAATCACTAAGAATAAGTGGGGACAAGGCCAACTGAAGCCACAGGATTATTTTAAAGGAAATGCAGCTAAATGTCTTTCCAGTGCTTATAGTAGCCCAAAGCAGGTACTTCTGAACCTGCTATAAACCAGCACTTACAGTTAGCAAATGCTCTGTTTTCAAATGCCTAAACTCACTTCTGATTTCTATGCTCATTTGATGAATGGTAAGTCAAAATAATAAACAGAAAATAAAAATAACAAAAATAGTGCCAGCAAACCATCATATAATGCTCATAATTGTGAAATGCTTATAATACAACAGGCGCAGCTATAGGTGCTTATCCATTTTAACTCATTCCATCCTCACAATACCCCTGGGGCTTTTACATTCTTCAGTTTACAGAAAGGGAAACTAAGATATTATAAGTTCAAGTAATTTGCTGAGCTAATAAGTGGCAGAGCCAAGATTCAAACTCAGGCAGTCTGGTTTCAAATGTGCTATGTACTATATCATAACTTCTCTTTTGGCTCTGTTACTCTAGTGTTAAAAGCAACTTGTCTCTTTTTTTTTTTTTTTTTTTTTTTTTTGAGACGGAGTCTGGCTCTGTCGCCCAGGCTGGGGTGCAGTGGCCGGATCTCAGCTCACTGCAAGCTCCGCCTCCCGGGTTTACGCCATTCTCCTGCCTCAGCCTCCCGAGTAGCTGGGACTACAGGCGCCCGCCACCTCGCCTGGCTAGTTTTTTGTATTTTTTTTTTTAGTAGAGACGGGGTTTAACCGTGTTAGCCAGCATAGCAATTTGTCTCTTATACAGGTTATGATTCACCTCATAATCTTTGCCCTATCTCTTCTTGATAAGCAATACAAATGGAAATTTCATCTGTTCTGCAAATATTTTGAGTCCTGGCACTGTGATGGTAGCTGGGGGAGTGAGTGATGCTGCTAAGTCCAGGTCCTACCCTCTCAGAGGTTCAAAAGCAGGACCTGTGATGGTTAATTGTACAATGTGACTATACCGTGAGGTGCCCAGATGAAAGATGATTTCTGGGTGTTTCTGTGAGGGTGTTTCTGGATGAGATTAACATTGGAATCTGTGGGTTCAGTAAAGCACACTGTCCTCACCAATGCAGATGGTCAATACCCAGTCATCTCAGAGCGTGAATACAAAACAAAGGTGAAGGAAGGAGGAATTCACCCCCTTTTCTTTTTGCCTGCCCAACGAGCGGGGACATCTAACTTCCGTTGCCCTTGGGCCGGGATTTACATCATTGGCTCCCTGGTTCTCAGGCTGTAGGATTCTGTCTAGAATTACACCAGTAGCTTTCCTGGGTCTCCAGCCTGCAGATGGCAGATCGTGAGATTTCCCGGCCCCCAGGATTATGTGAGCCAATTCCTCATAATAAATCTCTCTGTCAGAGTATGTACGTATGTATGTGCATGTGTGTATGTGTATATATGTGTGTATATATATATAATATTTATATTCTATTGATTCTGTTTGCCTGAAAAATCCTAATACACTGCCTTATCTTTAGATAAGGAAGATTTAAAAATATGGCCTGTTCCTCAAAACTATAACATCCAGAGGGGGCCAGGCATGGTAGCGCATGGCTATAATCCCAGCACTTTGGGAGGCTGAGGTGGGCGGATCATTTGAGGTCAGGAGTTTGAGACGAGCTTGGCCAACATGGTGAAACCCTGTCTCTACTAAAAATATAGAAATTGGCTGGGCGTGGTGTTGCACGCCTGTAATTCCAGCTAATGGGGAGGCTGAGGCACAAGAATTACGTGAATCCAGGAGGTGGAGGTTGCAGTGAGCTGAGATGGTGCCACTGCCCTCTTATCCTGGGCGGCAGAGCGAGATTCCATCTAAAAAAAAAAAAAAAAAAATCCAGAGTTGGGGGGGTGGGGAAAAAATCCAGAGTGGGGGAAAAAACAGGATGGTGGAACCGACATTAAGAAAGTTTGGTAGGCAGCATGTTATCTCAAAGTTAAAAGATAGCAGAGGATGGGGAACATCTGCCAGAAAATTGAAATTGGGTTGTGATAACCTGTACCTTTTCACTAGTGGTCAATACTAATGGCGCCAACTGATGGGACAGTATACTATGTTGCCTGTTGTCAAAGGATCAGCCTGCCTGACAGCACTCTTTGGGGTTTTCTATTATTCTTTGAAAAGGAAACACATGCACCAGCAACTACTACAGAACCCAATGGGGTGTTCTCATCACATGAATTTCTTACTATCTTAAAGCTGTTTCAAGTCATTTCAAAGGAACTCAAAAGTAAATTCAGATAAAACTATGATTCTTGTGATAGCGCTGCTTTCACGCAGATTATTAACACATCAAAGGCGGCAAAGGTCAGTTTAAGGCCCTTTCTCTGAAAAACCAACATCTGTTTTCTTTTGAGCAGCGTTTGTAGCAATCCAGATAAATGTAAATAACTATAAACCAACTATAATGCCCTTTATAGGATGCTGCTTAAAAATCTATCCTCAATGCTGCAGAGAGACATTTAAACAATCTGAGATCCTCAGAGAGGAAAAAAAAGTGAACCAACATCTATTCACCTAAAAAAAGAGAAAAGAGAAATCCTTGCCCAGGACCATTTTAGGCAACAGAACCACTCCACTGATCAGCAGGCGAAAGCAAACCAGACTGCCAGCCTCTTAGATTTACATATCATTTTCAACCCACGTTGACTTCTAATTACTTCACATACAACACATGTTCCTCCCAGCATGCACTGAGTGGTTGGAATTGCTATTCTTTGAAAAGAAATTCACCAGCATGAGGATGCATCACAGCAGTTGAAAGTTATTTCACCATGGGATAGGGAAAAACAAATCCTAGAGTGAGACTAATTGCCTTGTGCCCAGGGGAAGATAGAAGATGAATCAATACTTCAGGTCATAGGATGATTAAGGTACATGCTGTAGTTGTCTTGACCATTTGTTGCCCCATGGCGGTGTGCTGCTTTGCCTGTGTTTGCCCTCCAAAATCCACTGTCCACTCTTCTTGTCTTGCCCTGTGCCCTCGGATAACGGACCCCTAATGACTGCATCACCTGGTTGGGTTAGGTCAATGGGAGTCACCAGCAGGAAAATCGAGACAGGACAGAGAGAGAGGTCAGTGTATCTCTTCACTGCTCCCTCTCTCCTTTACCATTAGAGTTCTGGCAGTAGCCATGTCCTTCCATGATCATAGCACTTGTAGAGCAGACTCTCCTTCCTAGTGCCATCTCCCAGGGCCTTTGAAAGAAGGAATTCCTTCTCTCACTCCTTCAGGCCAAAGGGAAGAGCTGCTTCCTGCTGTCATTACTTACCAGGTGCCTCATTCTCTCTTATGGGATCTTTTAACCCCATCTACATCTCCCTAAGGAATCCAAAGTTCCTTCATTTGAATCATCTGATTTGAATTCAGTTTGTTGCCAGGATTCAGATGCATATAGCCTGGAACTGTGTAACTGAAGTACCTGGCATGGAGACCAGGATAAAGAAATCTCTCAATAAATACTTGTTGAATGAATGTGTTCCAGTTTCCCTTGCAGAAAGTGGCAGAAAAATGTAAGCCGGAGAGACCTGTACCCTGTATTCCATAGCTATCTTTCCCTTTGAATGTTAAGCTTATCAACATCCCTTCCTCCTGCCAACCTACACATGACACAGTTGGCGGTGTGCCCACCTTGAATCCCCAAAGCATGCATCCCCCACTCTGCCCAACCACTCATTCAACAAGTACTTATAGAGCTTTGGCTGCATAGAAAGCATTTTAACAAGGTGAGGCCCAGGACATTTTGTCCTGGGATTATTTAGGTTGCCCTTTGACATGACATCTATGCAACGCTATCTAATGGCACCTCAAAAGCATCTGTGGAATTTCTTTTTTGGTTTGTTTGTTTGAGACGAAGTCTCGCTCTGTTGCCCAGGCTGGATGGAGTGCAATGGTGCGATCTCGGCTCACTGCAAGCTCTGCCTCTTGGGTTCAAGCGATTCTCCTGCCTCAGCTTCCTGAGTTGGTGGGACTACAGGTGTCTGGACCACGTCTGGCTAATTTTTGTATTTTTAATAGAGACGAGGTTTCACCATATTGGCCAGGCTGGTCTCGAACTCCTGACCTTGTGATCCACCCGCCTCAGCCTCCCAAAGTGCTGGGATTACAGGCGTGAGCCACTGCACCCGGCCTCATCTGTGGAATTTCAAGAAGGAAACACTGAGTCCACCTGCCTAGGCCAACACTGAGTCCTGGCTCTGTGGGCAACAGGCCATTAGAACTAGACTGGTGTCCAGGAAAGCGCAGGTTACACTGATGTTTACATTAAAAGGAAAATGACTGTGAACAAAAAGGAAAAAAGAAAGGGAGGGGAAAGGCATAAGTAGTTGCGTCTCCATGCTTTTTAGTAGTTGCCATTAATAATGTATTCCTCATATACTCTATTTTTATATAGCTGTCTTTTGTCCCCTGCATGGTTTAAAGGAAGGTTTCAGAGATCAATACTCATTCGAGTTGTAAAAATTGGTTTTCTACCATATCTATCTTTCCTCCTCTCTCTCTCCTCCGCACGCATTCTTTAGGCAATCTTATTTTTGGCACAAATACCTGAACATCTGAAATAGGAATCTCCATCACAGCCTTAAAGTGAAACCGTTTGCTCTTGTATAGGTGAAAGAAAATGAGCTCTTTAAACCAAGACAGAAAAGCTGCCTTTAGAGCCCCAAATAGAGTCTCCCAGTTGAGACAATAGGACACGTGGAGAGGAATGGGATTGTCGCCTCTGGACAGCATGGTTTCAACATAATGCAGAACAGGCACCCTCCCCCTTCCCCTTGGTTCTGCACGCCTGCCCACAACTGTGCTGTTTAAAAACAAAAAAGGAGGGCAGGCCTGGAAGGAGAGGTGAGGCCCAGTTATGCAAATGAGGATCCAATTAGCAGAGACAATGAAGGGGAGATGCCCTCCTCAGAGTGCCAGGTGGCAGCAAGGTGCTAACAGGAATCGGGCTGATTAAAACCACTGCTGTAGGAAGTTTTGAAAAATGTTTTCTAGTTCTGCCAAGGCACAGCTAAGAGAAGCACTAGTATTGTGCAACATGAGGTGACCGTCTGAACAGCCCACCTGCCGCTCCTTAGGCATGGGTTCTTACCTCTGTTGTTGAAAGCACGGTGTCCTCATCAAGGCTGAGCACGGCGTCTGTGATGATGTTGTCGTAGGGTAGAAAACGGCTGCTCATAACCTGGGAGGAAGTAGAAGTAGGCAGTGGGGAGGGAATGAGGGAAAGAGGTAACTTCAGAGTCTTGTTTTCAGGACAATTCTCCCATCCTCACCTGCATAAAGAATGTGCTACTACCATGTCACCCCTCAACACTGAAGGAATCTCATTTCTCATCAATGCAGATTTATTTGTTCAACAATTATTGGGCACCTACTGTGTACCAGGCATCTTGCTGGTCAAAGAGGGTACAAAGATAATTAAGATATATTCCCTGTCTTTGAAGAGTTCATGGTCTGTAGAGGAGACCAAGAAGCAGATGACCAGCCTTTGCTTGATACAAAAAAATGCCAGGAGACCACAGGATGGAGCAACTGGCTGCCTGGAAGAGAGATGAAGGCCTCGTAGAAGAAGTGACATTTAAGCAGGACCCTGATGGGCAGAAAGAATTCACCAGGTATAGATAGTAATGAAGCATTAAAGACAAGACTCGGCAGATGCAGAGGCATTGAGGAGAGAACCCGCATCCTGACACCCACTCTTCCCGACCGACAGAGTGAATGGATGGAGAGGTGATTCCAAGTGTGGACGCAAACCATGGGGAGAGCAGATCATAGTAGAAGGTGCTGCTTTTACAAATTACAAACACTTACAAATTAAAATATATATTAGCACAGATTAAATATATACACATATATGAGCAGCTACAGCAATCAAAGGTAATATTAAAGTTACAAATAACTTCATTAAAATGAAAAGTATACTGATTTAAAGAAATATATTAGGCCAGGCGTGGTGGCTCATGACTGTAATCCCAGCATTTTGGGAGGCTGAGGTGGGTGGATCACTTGAGTCCAGGAGTTCAAGACCAGCCTGACCAACATGGTGAAACCCTAACTCTACTAAAAATACAAAAATTAGCCGGGCATGGTGGTGCATGCCTGTGGTCTCAGCTACTCTGGAGGCTGAGGCAGAAGAATCACTTGAACCTGGGAGGCAGAGGTTGCAGTGAGCTGAGATTGTGCCACCATACTCCAGCCTGGGTGACAGAGCAAGACTCTGTCATAAAAAAAAAAAAAAGAAGAAGAAAAATATTAAATAATAGCACACATGATCCATGGATTTAGAAAAATTGTGAAGGTGGTGTATGCATAAAGTTTGGGCAGTTCTAGAATAAGGAAAGATTCCCTTTGTCTCCAGTGTTAAGTTGCTTCTTTTCCTGGCCTTTGTCCCTTCAAAGTTGATGGTGGGTGTGAATTCAGAGAGGATGTCATCATCATTACTCTAACTTCTGGAAGAAGGTGGTGAGCATGTTACTACGTGTGCACACACAGTTGTGTGTGTGTGTGTAGTGGGGGCTTTGGAGATTATGGCATCAGCTGGAAAAATTGAGGGTGGAGAGGTTACCCTGTGATAGTCATAACTTAACCTTTGTGTTGAATGTACCATAGAAGAACTAACCGTAAGAATGCTGATACCATAAGAATAACATTTTTTGAATATTTACTATGTGCCAGGATATGTTCCACGTCCTTCATATATATCACTGGGTTTCATCTTTATAAGAACGCCATTTTACAGGGAGGGAAACTGAGATACGCAGGTTAAGTATCTTGCCCAAAACAAACCCAGGATTTTCCCCCAGATGGTGTGACTCTATAGAGCACCTTGGCCACTGGTCCTGGAAAGGACCTCACAAGTGAATTTAGGAACACATATGCCAATCACGTGCTCACCACCTTCTTCCAGAAGTTATAGTAATAATGATGACATCCTCTCTGAATTCACACCTGCCATCAACTTTGAAGAGACAAAGGCCCAGGGAAAGAAGCAACTTAACACTAGAGACAAAGGGAAAGAGGAAAAGGGTGGTAGCTAGCCAGCTGCCAAAGCTGCAGTCTCCCCAAATCTGAATACTCCTAGGGGCCAGCTCAACTGCAGGCCTCATCTCAAACTCGGTTTATTTGCCTGCAAAGCTACCAGCGCACCTAGGACTTCAATGAATGGACAGTGCCCACTCTAAGTCATTTCTGAGAGCTCAAGGGACATATCTGAAGCATACACGGCTTCAGGGGTTGCTCCTACACATCTGTCAACTTGGTCAGGTTATTTTGCTGTTGTTGTTTTCTCAGGCTTTTAAAATAAAACACAAAGTGATCAGCAACCCCATAGACACAGTGCTCAGAATTCTCAGCCTGAAGCAATCCTCCTGATACTCTTTACATGTCCACCGACTAACGCAGAAACCATTAGCTGCCAGCTTAGCACTGCCCTGACCTTTCCCTTGTTAAGCCTACAGGGGAAAACTGCAAAGACAAGGCCTATAAATTTAAAACAGAATTTTGCAGCCAAAGCAGCAAACATATTAATTTTAAATTCATGGAGATAGAGATTTTAAAATGCAGAATGAGGAAGATGTAGGGCTTCTTCCCCATCATCTGCCCAACCCTAGGTCTTAAAGGGATCTGTTTCCTTTTTTTCTGAACCTGTCTCATCAACAGAGGTAAAAAGCCCAAAAGTCATCCACTTTCGAATTCTCATGCAGAAATGAGAGGCTTTTTTTCAAATATGTTGCCTCAGCGACCCTCTTAAATGGATTAGCATGAGAGAAACCAATGTACTTACAAAGTCAATCCCGAGTGAACTGAGTTTTCCTTGTTAGTTCATTTAAGAAAGATTTAGCTACCATGTGAAAGCCCAACTCTTTTAAAACGAACAAACATGCTGGCCTTGGGCAGTGGCTCACACCTGTAACCCCAGCACTTTGGGAGGTCGAGGTGGGCGGATCACCTGAGGTTGGGAGTTTGAGACCAGTCCGACTAACCCCATCTCTACCAAAAACACAAAATTAGCCAGGTATGGTGGCGCATGCCTGTAGTTCCAGCTACTCGGGAGGCTAAGGCAGGAGAATCGTTTGAACCCAGGAGGCGGAGGTTGCAGTGAGCTGAGATCACGCCATTGCACTCCAGTCTGGGCAACAAGAAACTCTGCCTCAATAAATAAATAAATAAATAAACAAACAAACAAACAAACAACATGCCTAGGAAATGACCAAGACTCAAGAAGTTTACTGTCTTGTGGGGTGGGTGTGTGTGTGTGTGTGTGTGTGTGTGTGTGGCGGGGGGTTGGGGGGGCACATAAGAAATATACACAAGTAATTATATAAAACACAATAATAGTTAAGATTTATTGAGCATCCACAGTGTACCCACACTTTTCAGTACATTTATTTATGTAGTCTGACATAATCTGATCTTTTTGGCGACCTTATTAGTTACATATTATGACTCTTTCCATTTATTGAAAGGGGGCATGGAGACACAGAGAATTAAGAACTTGCTTTAAGTCACACAAAAGTAAGTTTGACTTTAGAGCCCATAACACAAATCCTAACGTTATGATGTCTCCCAGAAGAGGAGCTAACATTTATTGAACCCTTGGTGCATGTATAATAGGCACAGGAGTAAGCATCTGATATGCAACGATCTCATTTAATCCTCAAAATGGGTCCATGTCATAGCCCAGGTTTCCTAAAATACTGAGCCTGACGCAAGACTTGAGTGCAAAAGCTTTACTCTGAGGTGCAATCCCAGGGCACTGAGAGTCAGGGAAAAGACATAGGAAGCACCCAGCCCACTAGATTCAGTGCCCAAGGTGGAGGCAAGGACTGAACAAATGCCAGGAGCCTGAATATAGATGCAGCGGGGAGGATCTGAGGCATCTTGTAAGAGACATCTGATAAAGCCCACGAGAAAGGTACTATTATTATCACCACCATTTTATAAATAAACGGGGAGTTTCTTTTCACTGAGAACGAAAATATAAAATCAATCAGTGAGTCAGAGCATGAAAATGCTATACTACCTAAAGAAATCGGAATGGCTCCCAGACAGACTGGATTGTGTCTGAATATCCTGACATATCCAAAGAAAGACATTATCCACCAGAAGCAGAGCTCGTCTCCTTGACCCATGGAAGCATACCAAACAAAGAATCCCAAAGTTCAACCTTAACTGCCTGCCTCTGAGCACTGTTCATGGCTTCAGGCATTGGAATTGGAACACTGCCATTCCTGTGATGGGTTATTCTATGGGGGGATGGATATAAGGGGTTGCATGAAACCATGCTTATGGTGAGATGGATTCGCGAGAGAGGCATGTGATTATTCCAACATCCACCTTCTCTCATAAATGCTTACCAAGCAGCTCTTTAATAAACAGCTTGCTTGACTCCAGCCTTATGAAGGCCATGGCTACATTTGTCACATTCCCCACTGTGTTCCAAGCCTGTTACACAGTGCTCAGCACACAGTAGGCACTAATAAATGGGAAACGAATGGATAATGCACTGATCATCTTGTCCATGTGACAGTTACAATTGCATTATGTCAAACCATATGAAATTGCCACTTTTGGTGAGTCGATGATGATATCAAATGGTGCAGCCTAATAAACTTAATTTTGTCATTCTGGCGCAAAGGTGTGAGCCACTCTCTTATGACCTGACCCCTTGGGGACTGATAAGGAAAGTGTTTTAGATGGCACTGCTTCACCAATCTCAATTTCATTTAGTAGTGACTATTTCCTTCACAACGGGTAAGATCTATAAGAAAGCAACAAGCAAAACCTAGAGAAAAAAGAGCTGGATGCTCTTTAGTAGAAGAAATTTCAAGGAGGAGGTAGCGTGCAAACGGGGGCTTAAAGAATATATGGGAATGTTGACAAGCAGAGATGATGAGTTAAGGAGGGGTGGTCAAGACTTACAAATGGCAAAGTCAAAATTAGAGGTAGGAAGAGACACAGTGCAATTCAGCTAATTAGAAATGATCAAATGTGGTAGGGGACAGGGTCTGTAGGGAAAGCAATGAGAGAAAAGATTGGAAGGCTGGCTAGGGCCAGATTATACATGGCCTCAAGTGTTAATTGGAAGCACTAGCAAATGGAGACCTTAAAGGGCCGGGAGATGATCAGAAAGATAGTTCAGCTCTAGGCAAAGCGAACTGGAGAACAGAAGAAAGGCCAGCTATGCAGCACTTGTGACAATCTTTACAGGCAGATGCCAAACAAAACTAAGGTGAAAATGTCCTTTTTAAAGGGAATGGGAGAAAGAGCCACTATTCTGATAGACACAGCTCATTCAGATTAATCAGCCAAGCAAACCTCATGCATCCAGACATAGCTCATTCAGATTAATCAGCCAAGCAAACCTCATGCATCACCACCACCATAAGCTTTATCTTCATCCTTGTCATTTATAGAAAGATAACTATTGCCAGTTCCTGACTTTACTTAATCCTAACAGCAACCCTGCAAGGTATATATTATTGTTTCCTTTTTGTAGATGAGGAAACTGAGGCTCACAGAGGTTAAGTATACACACAAGGTCATAAAGCTACAGAAGAGTTGGTAGGAAGACCCAGGTTTCCCTGATTTGAAAGCCTATTGCGGTCAAAGCTGAGAACATTCTGAGAAAAGTACAGTTTTAGAAAAAATAATCCAGGAACAGGGAGAAGACATCTAGGGCCAAGACCCAAAGTGCCCCATGGAGAAACCAAGGCTCCACAGTGGTTCCACACATAGGTTCCCCTTCGAGTCTTACCTTGCTCTCTCCTTCAATGACGATGACAGGCACAGCAGTGGCAGGCCAGCGGTGTTTGGCTGGTAGGGGCTTGTCACAATTCCATAGAACTATGATCTGAAAGGGATGGGGTTCATTAGATGGCTGGGGTAGGATGTATTTATGTAGGCCTCCAACCCAAAGCCTCTTCTCAGAGTCAGAAAGAGAAAGAGGAGCTGGAGATCTCAGTGAGACAGAACGGCAGACATCAAAACTGAGTATTAAAGTGAGTCCATTCCCACACAACCTCAGAACATTATCACCCCAACAACTGGAGAGAGGACAGAAAGAGTAAACAAACAAACAAAGAGACAAACAAACAAAACCAACTGTGTCCGGGAATAGGGGAAAGCTGCGGGAAAAAGAATTTCAGGGTGGCTGGAGCTTAATAAAGTGGTTTCCTAAATTCTGGTATCTTATGATGGTGTGTGAGATAACAACTCTGATCAAATTAAATAAAAATGTATACTGAGCATCTGAACATCTGCTCTGAACTTGCACTACACCAGGCAATGTGGGAGAAATAAAAAAATTCAAGCTAGAACTAAGATGAGCTCATGTTTTGCATGCTCTAGAATGGTTGCTGATTTTATGTGACTTTATAATTTCCAATAAAGGCATTTAGTTCAAAAATGCATACTTCCTTATTGAATTCTTTCCTTGTTTGTAAACCTTCTTGCATAAACTAATTCACAAATCAGAAAAACCACTGTTCAAGTATCGGCGCAACACTGATTTGGAAAATATTGTTACCACAGACATAATCGTCTGCTCCCAATTTTATAATTAGTCATGGTTGCTATGAAAAGAAAAGTTGACGCTTCATGACACCAACAAGTCTGCTTCTTCTAGTGAAGCTTAGTTGCCTGGGTCCGCCCAGAGGCTTTTTGGATGTTACTTTGTCATTTTGACATTTAAAAACAAAATCATGTGCTTATATCTTCTCTAGAGAATGTGTTGGTGTACGTATATATACTTTTTAACCCTATACCAGTGCTAAGGTCTCTCCGGAACCCACCCCTTCCCTGTGCCAGATTTCACTTCCAAGAATTTCTAAGTGGATGAAAAGGGTGTAATGAGGCAGGTGAATGAAAGGGAGTAAGAGGGTATGATGTTAGAGGAGTCCTAGGGAGCCCAGGGAGCCTGGGGGAGAACAGGTAAGCAGGGAGGAATCTCTGGTCTGGAGCTGGAGCAGGCAGGGGCTGCTCTGCCAACTTCCCACTCACCTGGGCACAGTACTGGGACTTGGCTGCAGCCACAAGAAGCTTCAACACTGGCTGGGACTGAGAGACCAGCGGGGTCACCGCATGGATGACTGCAGTGAATTTGGAGGGGGGCTTTAAACCTGAAATAAAAAGGAGAGCAGAGCCTAATGAAGCGCTGGAAAACAAGACTTAGAAAATCACTCCTCCTTGCTCCACTGCCTCACGCTGAAGCAAATGTTCCCTCCTGGATGATTTCTCCTTTGCTTCTTATGTCCTGACAGGACAGAAACAAGATGAGAAGTTGCTGGTTAGCTACTGCCTGAGTCTAGAGACCTCAATAAATTCCAGATCAACGTCCACTTCTAGGTTCTTGCTTTAATATCCTTTGTCCCTCTTGGTGATGTTTCTGTGATGTTCCTTTGGCTTTTTAGGTACCCAGTGTCTAAATACACACACCATTCACCACCCTTCATGTGTTGTCTCTCCCACAGTGTTTGCAGGTGTCTGATTTTTAATTATGTAATAAAAGGGTTCTACCTGACTAATAGCACTTCAAACAGCTAGCTAGTGGGAAAAAAGGTGAAAGGAACAGCATCCAGGGCCTGACTGTCTAGGTCTGAATCCCAGATCTACCACTTACTGGTGGTGGGACCTTGGAAAGAATATTTAACCCTCTGAGTTTCTACAGCTGGGAAACAGACCTGATAATAGTGCCAAACGTATGGGGTTATCTCGAAAATTCAGTAAGTTTGTCCCCGTGCGGTGGCTCACATTTGTGATCCCAGCACTTTGGGAGGCCGAGGCGGGTGGATCACTTGAGGCCAGCAGTTCAAGACCGGCCTGGCCAACATGGTGAAATCCCGTCTCTACTAAAAATACAAAAATTAGCTGGGTACGATGGCGTGTGCCTGTAGTCCCAGTTACTCCGGAGGCTGAAGCAGGAGAATTGCTTGAACTCTGAAGGCAGAGGTTGCAGTGAGCCAAGATGGTGCCACTGCACTCCAGCCTGGGCAACATAGCAAGACTCTGTCTTAGAAAAAAAAAAAATTGCTTGAACTCTGAAGGCAGAGGTTGCAGTGAGCCAAGATGGTGCCACTGCACTCCAGCCTGGGCAACATAGCAAGACTCCGTCTTAGAAAAAAAAAAAAAAAAAACAAGTTAATGCATACAAAGCACTTAGAATAGGACTTAGAAAATAACAAGTACTCAATATATGTCAGCAGCTATCATTATCATCACCCTCACCAACATCGTTATTATTTCGGAGAAGAAGCCTCCATATTCCCAGAATCTCTTCTTTGTGTAGCAGTGACATAGCTGAGAAAAAAGTATGTGATGCAGACTTTTGCCAATTGCGAGCTCTGAAGTCCTAGGTTAAAAAGGATCATAGATATGCAAAACAACCACTGTCACCAAAGACACAGAAGTGAGATGGCTTCCCCCCAAGGAGTTTTCCCATAAGAACTCACTAAGAAATTAGAGACAGGTTAAGAGCCTTTTAAAACTTCATTAGTTTAGACCCACTAATTTGGCACTTTAGTGGCTTAACTGCGAGCAACACAGTGCAGGGACATTCAAGTTACGCTTTGATACTGATGGGATAAAGGCTAGAATCAGACTCTATGTGTATTAGAGGATTATACAAAGGTTTTGTAGAGAAAATTATATCATCCAGTAGCACTTTAATTGTATGTTACAAAGAAGTTAATCTTCCCAATATCTAGATACACATTCGAAGTTTTGCCAAGCAAGAAGAATAAGCGTGATTGAGGGGCTGCCTTTTAAACAGGAATGACAAGTCATTGCCTTTAAATTTTCCTGCAATAATTTAAGAAGCATCATTTACACACCTCTAATGTGATAACTCCAAATGAAGATCTAAATACTGTACAATAAATATACAGAAATTTTTGTCAACCGGTGTCTTAATCTGACCATTTCTAAATTCTAATTACGTTACCCAAATGTCAACCATACACTGAATTAGAGATGGTTCCCATAACAGGTTTGGTTTGGATTAAAAGGTTCTTTGTCACTGGTTGACGCTTCAGGCCAGGAATTTCTTTAGGTTTCATCTCATCAGTTTCAAGCTAAACATGTACAACTTAGAAGGGTGAGGGTGTTATGGAGAACAATGGCGTTGAGTGGAAAATCTTGTCTTTTTGCTGTATCAGCTTGGAAGATGCTTTCCTGTCCTAGGCTTTCTCAAGTTCAGAACTGTAACTGAGGGGAAATGTTCATGATGTTTCTAACATGAGAGCAACTGGGGCTCCAAATACATAAATGTCTAAGGCAATAACAGTAGCCGGTGGTAGAGATTTATTCCTCTGCCATTCCCTTTTCCCTACTGTGATTAGACTGAAAACTGCTTGAAAGCAGAGATTGTATCTTATTTGACTTTTTATTTCTAGTACCCAGCAATACATTAGCATAGCACATAAAAGGAGCATAAAAAACCTTGGAAAAATTAATAAATTTGTGCTTGTCATATACTCTTAGTTATTTCTCCTTTCCTCTTATTCAGTTTTTCTTTGGTGCGGAATAGAGATGTTGGGATTGTGAAAAAAAAAACAACAAAAAAACAGGGGAGAGCTCTCCTAACTCCATTTTATATATGATGAGGCGTAAAATGATAGCTAACCCATTGCCATGTTCAAAATGATTCATAATTTGGGGAGCCTATTTCTCAAAAAGAAATTACTAAATATGAAGTAGAGCTGCACAGATAAGAAGTTTTTCTTTTTTTCCATTTTGCAATGCTGTGTTCTGTTTTTGAACTTGATATGTCACTTATAACAAGACTCTAGAAAAAGCAATCTTCAGTGCAGGGTGTTAGATGGACCCCATTAGAATAGAAGAACAAAGGCCCTTAGTTCTGTATGACATCTTCAGGGTAAACAAGGGCAACTCCCTGGAGGAAATTCACTTACCTAAATTAGCATAGTAGTAAGGAAAATCTCCCAGATAAGATGAATACTGTGGTAGTACGAACAATCCTCCAGGATGTTTGTTCCATATTAAACTGTTACGTGATATGTGCTTGAATATTCTGTCCTGAATAATCTAGAAAACAAAACATAGCACACAGTGAGGATGAGATCCTGATGCTATGTGGAAGGAATGATGCCCAATCCACATTTGAAAGATGGTGGCAGTCAGAGTGGCGACTCTACCCTCCCTCCCACTCTAATTCTCCAGATAAAAACGTCTGCGAGACGGAGAGAGTAATGGAGCAATGAAAAAGAGTAACAGAAAGATATGAATTATAGCCAATCAAAGTTCCTAATTAAACTTCAGTTAAACCATAAATTCTACCCTGCCTTTGTATAATAATGAGTCCATGCTCATTCCAAAATAGACTGTGTGGAGCAGTTAGTCTTTCCCTGATGGTTAAACTTCTAAGAACTAAATACGTTCCAGGCCCCTATCAAGACCTGTTCTCAGAGAACAGAGAGGTCAATGTATACTCGTAGACACTGAACGGAAAGCATATTCAAGACATGACACATTCTAGAAGCTATTGAGGTTTTCAGCTGTTACTTTAATTCAAGAGGTAGATGTGTTTGCTTGTCATATTTCATTTTCCTTTCAAAGACAATTGTAGGACTTTGGGTACTGGTTACTGAAGTTTTTCTATATTTCATCTCGAAAAGTAGTGAGTTAACAATTGCTTAAAACATCCTACATAATAGGACAAGAACCATGGCATATGAAGACTAATAATAGCCAAGCTAGTTCATTAGTTTCTTTGGACTTTGGGACCTTGCAGATCATTAAATTCTACATTTAGAGTCAAACATCCTCCCATCCCGAATCATTTGTCAGTTGAATGTGATTAGTCCATTTTATAGCTTTCTCTCTGTGACTTTCAAACTCTTATAATTATACCATCCACTCATTAGAATATGATTTGGCAAATAATTAACTTGGTACGGAATTTTATGTTTTCAGCAATTTTTTTTTTTTACATTTAAAAGAAAAGAAAAAAATCCTGCCATAAGTCTTGAGATTTAAGACCCAAATCACCATTCTCCAGGTCTCCATTTAATGCAATGTGATTTTAAGTACAGACTACTTTAAATGGAGTTTTATTATTTGCTAAGGTTATTAACACCCTCATCTCATTCCACATGGTGACTAGATAAGTAATAAAGTGGGCTACATTTATCTTTGCAAATCTTATGTTTATTTTCCTAATGACAGAGAAGGAAGGAAGCAAGGAGGAAATTCAGAAGAACTCAAATATCTTAGTTAAATGACTTCTGCATCTTATCTTTCACCCAGATCAAAATTGCTAATTTTATATGGCTGGATAGAGGTTTCTAATTTGGTGGAGATTTTAGGAACCTAGTGAAAATATTTATTTTTACTTTTTGTGTAACAGGGATGTGTTAAAATGCTGTTGTCTTGGCATTAATTACGAGAAAATTGTCATGGTTGTGAAGGATTTTTTTACATGGTTAGCAATTTCACTTTGTACAACATTTATTCCTGTTTTTTATTATTTGTACTTTCCAAATGTACTGTCTATTTATTTCCTTTTTCTAGTTTCTCTTTAGATCCTCCTTTTTTTTTTTTTTTTTTTTCCTTTTCAAATTTATGTACCTCTTAGGATGTGGTCACTGAAATAAGTTTGGATATCAAGATAGAAAATAAATTGACAATAGACAGTATCATAAATCGAACCTACAGACAAATGGCACAGAACTCAGAGCTGTCACAAAATGGGTCATCATTCACATCAGGTCTTTGGATGTTATGCTTGTCACTGTCATAGACTTTGGTTTAGTATCACAACATTGCTATCTTTTGAAATTCAAGGATATGATAATAAGATATAGCACTCTTCTGAAATAACAAGCATTTTATACTGTCTTCCAATGGATCTTGACAGAAAGATAGAGGACAAGTATGAAAGCAGTAGCAAATGTTGAATTTAACCTGGGTCAAGCAATTTGCCACCTTTGTGTATTATTTTCCTCATCTGTAATAAAGCAATAAAATGTCACATTAATTGTAACAATGTCTCAGAATTTAAGAATAGCTGCCTAAGTTGTTATACTTAAGACTTCATTTTTGCCTTTAAGAAGAAACTCACTCCTGTGTTTGTTTTCTAGGCATTGGTTTTTCCATTTATTACATAGTGGCAATAGTATAGATATTATATATTACAGATATGTTTCCATATTAATCGTATTCATGATTCATTTTTCTTAATGATCAGTTCAGCATTTTTTCCATGCAAAGCAATGAACATATTTATGAATATGAATAAAATTTTCCACATTTAAGACTGATTCTTCTTCTTTTTTTTTTTTTTTTTTTGAGACAGGGTCTCATACAGTTACCCAGGCTAGAGTACAGTGGTGTGGTCACGGCTCTCCGCAGCCTCAAACTTCTGGGCTCAAAGGATACTCTCACCTCAGCCTCCTGAGTAGTTGGGACCACAGAGGAGGGTCACCACACCCAGCTAACTTTTTTATTTTTATTTTTTGTAGAGATGGGGTCTCACTATGTTGCTCAGGCTGGTCTCAAACTCCTGAGCTCAAGCAATCCTTTCTCCCCGGCCTCACAAAGGGTTGGGACTACAGGTGTGAGCCACCGTTCCAGACCAGAATTGATTCTGTAGGACCTTGTCAAAGGGTGTAAGTACTTTTAAGGCTACTCATAAGTATTGCCAAGTGTCTTTCTAAAAGGTTTATATCAGCTTGCCTTCTAAAAGCATAAAGAAATATGGATTTCATTTCACCATACAGAAAGATCATTTTTTTCCCTCTGCAATTCTTCCTATCACTACCCTGGAGAGCTCCCAGAATCTTTTCATGGCACTTACTGCTTACTCTTTATTGTTGTGGAAGAAGACATCAGATTTAGAGGTTGGATGCTTCTTTGGCTATAAACAAAATCAATACACACACACACACACACACACACACACAAACACATAATACAAGACTTTTTTTGTTATGGTCCCAGATGGCCCCCTTGATAAGGACAATATTTCTAATTGATGTGAATTCAAAGGGAAGAATGACAGGCTCCTTATTTTTCTTTTTATGTATCCTCTGTTTTCCGAATAATGGACGATTGGTTACAGGTTAAAGTCATTCTATGTAGCCCCTCATCTTGTAACCAAAGCACTGTAGCCTAAGACACACGATGCCACCATATGCCACTTTACTTGAAGCCCGATCAATTGTCTATTTCCATTATCCCACTAATTTTCAAATATCATTATATGATAGCATCAGCAATACTATGGTTCGGATGTGCATGGCTAGATAACTGAGGAGGAAAATGGAGCATACTTCATAAAACTCCACTAACTATATACCTTCCTAGCTACCACTGGCTCTTTTCATATATTATTATAATCTCAAGCACTTTCTTTCACTCATCTTGATTACGACTAAGCTCCAATGATTCAATCCTTAGTGCCAGGTTATTGTGCAATATTCTGACAAATAATGGAATCCATGAAGGAGCACTGTTTTTCCAGTGTTTTATCATTGACCTCATGGTTACTTCTCAATTTACACAAACAAACTGAGCTCTACAGAGCCTCATTTGATTAAATAGCTCCTTACTACCAAGATGCAGCATTAGAAAATTTCAATCAAACTGGAAAAACTAACAGAATCCTAGACAGAGCTCTGTACAATGAAATGTACTAACAACTTGACCCTGGCCTTGAAGAGAAAATGAGATGTCCTGTTTTCAACTGAGTCTAAGCACTCTACCTACAACTCTAGGGCTCACAATGTTTGAAGACTCCAGAATCCCATTCCCATGGCCTAGAATATAGCAAGCAAGGAGAAAGACCTAGAGTCTGAGTACAGAGCATCCTTAGGCCAGGATCTTCAAGTCTATGCCGTAACTGTGAGTAACTGAATTATTCTCATGCCTTAGTAGCTCCAGCAGTGACTAAATGAAGTATGTTATCTGAGTTCTAAGCCAAGTTCACATTTTTGATACGTGATACTTAAACTGTTCTTACAAACACATTCACTGTGTTATTTGTGTCCGTGGATGGCATTTTCTTCTATTTCCCCTGATTTTCTGATTATGTTGAATTCTGGGGTACTCTGAGTTATGAAGTATTTTGGAAAACTAGGTAGTACCTGTCATCAATTTAGTTGAGAGGTCAAACTGTTACAATCCAATCTTGGAACTATATAAAGAGATTTGACAGTTGCTATAAATTCGAATGAAGTATATCATTTTTAGTGTTTTAAAAAAAACCCAAAACTGTGTTGCTAAAAAAAAAAAAAAGAAAAAAACATTGCATGGTTTAAATACAAAGGGGAAAGGCCTTTTCAGGTTCAGAGATGAGAACAGCTTGATCTTATTTTGATCCTATTCTGACGAATGTAAGACATTCAACTGTTACAATACAAAAATTGAGCACTGCTATCTTACTAGGTGAGAGACCAGATCCATGCAATAAACCATATGCAAAAGACATGTAATTAATGAGATACCATCTTTCATCTGGCAAATCAGCAAAGTGGTAGATGTGTGTGTTTTAATTATGGATCTGTGAGGCTGACAAGAGCACAGCAAAAGAGAGTCACGCCCAGACAGCTTGTGAGACTCTGGGTGGATAAAATGTTTTTGGATAATAATTTGGCAAAATATATTATAAGCCTTAGAAATGCCTAGACTCTCTGGCTTATTAAGATCACTTCAGGAATTCCATCCTAAAGAAATAGAGATGTAGTTTAAGATACATATAGAAAGTCATTTGCTTGGATAAAGATATAGTTAGCTCTAAAAAATAAATAATTAAAAAGAACATTAACAGTAAATAATGGCATATTGGTTTAAATAAATAGAAGTTCATGATAGGATGTATAATAGAGTAAAAAAAGTTAAAACACTGAAACGTGGTCTGAATGTATTAGAGGTAAACAACTAATAGGATAGAATTAAAAGGCCAGAAACAACCCAAAGATACATAAAAATGGCAGAGAAAACACTGAAGAAAGAAATGTATTGGGGCTAGGCACGGTGGCTCATGCCTGTAATCCCAGCACTTTGGGAGGCCGATGCAGGCAGATCACTTGAGGTCAGGAGTTGGAGAGCAGCCTGGCCAACATGGTGAAACCCCATCTCCATGGCACATGCTTGTAATCCTAGCTACTTGGGAGGCTGAGGCCTGAGAAAGCGCTTCAACCCAGGAGGCGGAGGTTGCAGTGAGCTGAGATGGTGCCACTGTACTCCAGCCCGGGGGACAGGGTGAGACTCTGTCTCAAAAACAAACAAACGAACAAAAAAAACCAAAAAAACTTAGCATTTGGCATATCATTTGAAACAGGACTTCAAATTCAAGGAATTTATCCTAAGGAAGTAATATTGAATCTGCACAATAATTTGACCTTGAGATGATTTACTGCAATGATGTACATAAAGATAAAAAGCCAGAAACAACTGGAATCTACCCAAATTGGGGATTAATTTAAATAATTAGATGATATCATAAATGGAATATCATATAGTCATTAATTATAGAAAAAATCTAATAACATGAGAAAATATTAACATTATTAAGCAGAAAAACAGGTTATAATGCAAGTATATGAAGACTCCTTTTTAAAACTAAAACTACCACAAATTTTAAATTTACATATAAAAACGAATATATATGTTTGTGTGGATATATATGTCAATAGTGGTTTTGTATGAAGGAATTATTTTATATTTTATGCTTTAAGTATTTTCTATTAGTTTCTAAAATGAATGTGTCCTTATTTAATAATCACTCCTGTAATCCCACCACTTGGGTAGTCGAGGCAGGAGGATTGCTTGAGCCAGGAGTTCAAGACCAGTCTGGGCCACATAACGAGACCTCGTCTGCACAAAAAATAAAAAATTAGCCAGGCATAGTAGCTCGCACCCATGGTCCCAGCTACTCAGAAGGCTGAGGTGGGAAGATTGCTTAAGGTCATTCCAGCCTGGTGACAGAGAGAGACCCTGTCTCAAAAACCAAAAAAGGCACTCTGCACTCCAAAAAGGGAGAAAAAATAACACTCAACATTCTTTAAGAATGGCCTATGAAGGATCTTAGATGGAGGACAGGATTAAGGGAACTGAACAATGAGATCACTTGGACTCGGGAAGGGGAACATCACACACCAGGGCCTATCATGGGGAGCGGGGAGTGGGGAGGGATTGCATTGGGAGTTATACCTGATGTAAATGACGAGTTGATGGGTGCTGACGAGTGGATGGGTGCAGCACACCAACATGGCACAAGTATACATATGTAACAAACCTACACGTTATGCACATGTACCCTAGAACTTAAAGTATAATAATAATAATAAAAAAAAATTATTAACACTAAAAAAAAAAAAAGCAAAGGATAACTCTATTAAATACTCAAATCTGCTACTGTGAACAGAGGTAACGACTCAATTGATTTTAATTGAGGAGATTGCTTTTGGAGGGATAAAAGTTTGCTTGCAGGAAGAAAGCCCTTGGAAGTCATTATGATCCTGTCCCCTTCATGGGAATGGGCCTGGGTCCTAAACAGCCCTTTTTACCCAGTTCCAGGATGAAAAAAATATACACTATGCCTAAGAGAACACTGACCAGAGTTTGCCCTAGGGTGGGAGCAGGAGCCCAAGCTCAGCGTGGGGTGGATAAATGCCCCAGTGTGCCTGGAGCATGACCAGCACTGGCTCTGATAGTCAGGATGGCAAGAAAACAGTGATGTGGACCAAGTAGGGTAACTTCAGTTTCTTGGTATTACTCAGACTTCTCAATGTAGGTTCCACATCACATTAGCTTTTAGAGCAGTCATCACTTTTCCCGAGTGAATTCTCCAAAAGGAAGACCACGATGCCCCCACTTCATTTTGGGAACACCTCAGAATCACCTCAGTGAATATCTCTGCTCTCCTTCCTTCAAGCCTGTAATGCATGCGTGTGCAGCTTCCTGAATCTTTTCCTAGCTCTTTGTGCTACTTTGGTGTAGCCTCAGGCCAATGCTATCTGCTCTATTTCCAAAGGTTTTAATCATCTCCATGCTTCCTTTTTCTTTTTCCGTCCTGCTTTAAAAAAAAAGCAACTTGAGGATGGGCACCCATCTGCCTAAAAGATTTTCTGCTTTCACAAATTTAACACTTTCTGCGCCACATGGGTATGATCCTGACTCTCCTCTTAACACAACTTTGCCACACTGACGCTGGTTGGCTGGCTTGCATAAGACTTGAGAATTAATTCTGCTGTCCCCCAATGCCATTGGACTGTGGTGTCCAGAAAACTACTCATATTTTTAGAACGGTAGAGGATTTGCCCTTACTTGGCCATTATATATATTTTTCTTTCTTTCTTTTTTTTTTTTTTGAGATGGAGTTTTGCTCTTGATGCCCAGGCTGGAGTATAATGGTGCGATCTCAGCTCACTGCAACCTCCGCCTCCCAGGTTCAAGCTATTCTCCTGCCTCAGCCTTCCGAGTAGCTGGGATTACAAGTGTGTGTCACTATGCCTGGCTAATTTTTTGTATTTTTAGTAGAGATGAGGTTTCACCTTGTTGGCCAGGTCTTGAACTCCTGCTCTCAGGTGATCCACCTGCCTCAGTCTCCCAAAGTGCTGGGATTACAGGAGTGAGCCGCTGAGCCAAGCCATTAAATATTTTTTTCTAAATGAACTCCAGAAACATGTCTTCAAAGGATGCCATTGAGTGTAAATGACAAGACAGTCATGACCCACATATCCCTGAAATGATGTAAGACGGAGTCAATCTCTGTGTCATTGAGTATAATTTCTCCCCATGTAGGTTTTCCTTTGTAGAGTTTGTCAGGAATGAGAGTATTTTCTTGGGTATGGCAAAGTTGATAAAAGAGGTTAACCAATATATCCGAGTACAGGAATCTGGTTTTGCCCCATTGGACCAATCACACTTCACTAATAGCAAAACAGAAGGCTGAGAGAAGTGTATAAAGGACCATTATTCAAGCCCAAGAGCCAAGCGGTCTCACTTACCTCTAGTGTAGTTAATACAATCTTCTCAACTGAAGAAAAATAAGCCTCCCACAAGAATTGTGTCTGCTGTCTAAGTGCTAGGATTTTATCCTGATGAATAGACCTGATTGTAGAAGGAATCTGTAACACAAGGTGAACACATAGGAATTATAACCGTAAAACCAAGAGATGTACTTGATCAAAATAACCCAACTGGGTTAGGCTTTTATTCTTCATAGCATTCGACTTCTAGCATAGACCTACTAAAAATCATCAACTCTTAAGTTGAAATGACCTTAAGAAGTGTCGGCTACAAAGAGCACTTACTGGGAATCCGCCCCAGTGGCCTTTGATGTATGAAAGTTACAGTTCACCTCTAAGATTCAGAAGCAGCTTATCAGTTGCTTAGGTAAGTCTATAGTCACAATTGCTGCTTCCAGAAATCCTCGACCTTGCACAAGGTAACAACCAAATTTTATAGAGGAGTAACTGTAGGTCTTGGGGAAAGGCCAGAAGACTTTATCTCCCAAGCACTTCTATGATTGGTCACCCCAGGAACTATAAAATATCTATAAAAGGACTTTTTAGAGAATGTCTATGAGCTTTCCCATCCAACCTGAAGCTAGGGTCAGTCACTTTTATGTGCACATACCTTCTACCTCACCTTTGAGCCTTTCTGCTTCCCGTATCTCTCTTTCCGCCTTCAGCCCTTACCCAAGTCTAACTGGATCTCTCAACTGTTCATATATGTTTAGTCATCACTGCTCTCTTCCAGGGTACACAGTTTTAAAGGAAGGACCTATATCTTGTTATCCTGCTACACATTTTCAGGTTAGCAGAGTGGCTTTTATATAGTAGTTATTAAGAAATAGGAGGTGAATATAACCACCTGAAGCCACCACAGGGACATCATTATTTTTAATGGTAGTACAGCTGCTGAATGGCTAGGCCCAGGGGCACGGGAGTCAGAAAGATCAAGGAAGGATTCTTCCCTCTACCATTTACTACCTGTGCTTTCTTGAACGAGTTAGCTGATTTCTCAAAGACTCCACTTCCTTACTCATAAAGTGGGGATAAAGTACTAAGGTTTTAATGATGATTATACAAGTGCTTAGCACAGTGCCTAAAACATGGAAAACTTAATTAATATAATGTACAATCACTACTATCATTATTGGTATCAGAGTGATGCTATTAAAAGTTGGACCAGTTGCTTAATGTCTGCAAGGGAAACTGCTTGGGTCTGGAGTTCTGAAATGTACTTCCTGAGTCTGGTAAGTGTTCTGGGCTTGTTCCCTATTTTCACCTACAGTTCAAGGTCTATTTCATTTACGGAGTCTATAGTCTTAAGGGAAGATTCCTTGTGATTAGCAATTGCCCTTTTGTGCTCACCTCTTTCTGCATGCTTGCCTCCATAACATATGACTAATCTGACAGATATGGGAGTCTGGGCAAGAAGGAGAAATGCTCCGTTAGCTGCTTTAATAGGAAAGTTACCCATGGCATTTGACTAAGACTGTAACAGAGTTTCCATTGGAGGGGAAGGAAGTGGTAGCGCATTTTTTAATTCAACACTCCCCTTAGGAGGAGCAATAAAACAGCTTCACAGTAAGAAGAGAAGGAAAAGTTCACTTGGTTTGGCAATGTCCAAAACCAGATACTAAATCTGTGTCCCAAAGTGTATACCTGGATTTGCAACACTGAAGAAACAGAGGCGACAGGTAAAGGAGAAACACTGGCAAGGCAAACATTAGCCTGTAATCAGAGCTCAAGGTCAAATGGAAATAAAACATTCTTCGAGAAGGTAGAGAAATCATTCATATCATAGAACCTTTATAAGTCCAAGGAAACTGATTTTTATTTACTTACTGAGAAAGTCACCTAGATGGCCAAAGAAAGATTAGAAAAAAATTATCCTGTTCAATTTTCATAATCATACCCTCTTCTAAATGTCAAGAAGTAACTGCTAAGAGTTATATAGGTTGGCATCACTGTTTTATCGTGGCCACGAGGAAACAGTCTACTAGAAAAATGCCTAAGGCTGGGTGCGGTGGCTCACGCCTGTAATCCCAGCACTTTCGGAGGCCGAGGCAGGTGGATCACAAGTTCTGGAGTTCGAGACCAGCCTGGCCAATATGGTGAAACCCTGTCTCTACTAAAAATACAAAAATTAGCTGGGCATGGTGGTACGCACCTGTAGTCCCAGCTACTCAGGAGGCTGAGGCAGAAGAATCACTTGAACCCAGGAGGCAGAGGTTGCAATGAGCCTAGACTGCACCACTGCACTCCAGCCTGGGTGAGAGAATGAGACTGTCTCAAAAAAGAAAGAAAGAAAGAAAGAGAGAAAAAGAAAGAAAGAAAGAAAGAAAAAGAGAAAAGAAAAGAGAAAAAAGAAAGGAAAGAAAGAAAGAAAAGAAAAGAAAAGAAAAGAAAAATGCCTAAAGCTATCATTGCTATATAGTCTCCAGAAAATTGAGTCTGCTGTGGTTATGAAAGGAGAAAAAGAATATCACAGACTCACCTACCAATGCTGTCCTCCTCTCTTAAATAAGATGCATCTTCATCTTACTACATCAAGTGCAATGTATTCTACCGGTTTGTGATACGATACAAGTGTCTGACAGCACTATGCAAAGTGCTCTGGAAGACAACTCCAATTGATTGAAAAGACAGAGTTCCAAGTTTTAATGGCATTTGGCTATTGGTTATTAATCTGCTTGTCCTGAGAGACAGGTATGGGAAAGTGATAAATTAATTCCAATTTGGCTGGATTGTTTTGGAAGTCACCGAGCTCAATGAAGTCTTAATAAAAGGTCATGTATGGTAGCAAAACAAATGGGATGCACCAGAATAGGTATAAGAAAGCCACATTAAGCTCTCTTGGTGACATGATGACAAGAATATATGCAAATAAAAACATCCGAGCTATTCTAAAACAGGAAATGAAAAATTGTAACATAACAAAAAAACATTTCCCAGAGCAGACATTTGGGCTGGGTGCCAACTCCTTAAAACCATTGTTAATGACAGTACACAGTTGCTGTTCAATATGGAGGCAGCTGTGCAAAGACAGACTGCATATGAGAGGGGAAAAAACACCAGCAAGTCTGGGTGGGTGGGAGTGATAAAAAGCAAAATCTTCAGAGTCAAGCCAAAAAGTTGCTTCAGAAGATGAAATGCCCATCAACTTTGGTGAAATGGTAGAAACTGGAGAAGCAGCTGGGCACAGTGGCTCACCCCTGTAATCCCAGCACTTTGGGAGGCTGAGGCAGGTGGATCATCAGGTCAGGAGTTCAAGACCACCCTGGCCAACATGGTGAAACCCCATTTCTACTAAAAATACAAAAATTAGCTGAGTGTGGTGGCAGGCACTTGTAATCCCAGCTACTCGGGAGGCTGAGGCAGAAGAATCGCTTAAACCTGGGAGGCAGAGGTTGCAGTGAGCTCAGACCACGCCATTGCACTCCAGCCTGAGTGACAGAGAGATTCTGTCTCAAAACAAAAAAAGGAAAAGAAAAGAAAAGAAAAGAAAAGAAAAGAAAAGAAAAGAAAAGAAAAGAAAAGAAAAGAAAAGAAAAGAAACCAACAACCACAATTAAGTATACTAAAATGCGCTCCATACCAAAGACAACTTTTCAACTTGTTCACATCAAACTCACGGGAGCATTGGTATATAAAAGGAAAATTATGAGTGGTGCTTTTTATTCCCTTTATTTCTCAAAGTTCTTTTAATGATCAAGTATTACTTTTAAAATCACATTTAAAAAAGGAAGAAAAAAGACAACATGGACAAGCATGACATGCATCATGCTTGTTTGGCTTTTCATGAATAAATGATTTTGGCATACACTATCTCTGCATGGGGAAAACTCTTCCTTGGTGTTTCTGCAAGGACTTCCTTTCCTTAAGGAATCACAGTGGGAAATCATTGGCATAAAAGTGGCCCTTTCACAAAAAGTCCAGACCCCTTTCTCAATGAACACCTAAAAAATGAAGTTGTATTCAGGGCAGAAAAACTTATCCCCCCAAAAAACAGATTCTGCCATATTCCTACCTTTGTTTCTGAGATCCTAGGTACCATGGAGATCACAAACTGAGTACCAGACAGAAGTAATGTTTCAGGAGCTGTGGTCACTTTCGTTTGCTTAACCCATAGGTCTCTCAGTTACAGTTAGTTCATCTGTTATTTTAGGGAAAGTGCTGCATTACTTCACCAGTCAGCTAGCAGACTGGGCAGCAGCACAGAAGGAGAATCAACAACAGTCTTAGAGGGCGGGCACAGTGGCTCACGCTTATAATGACAGCACTTTGGGAGGCTGAGATGGGTGGATCACCTAAGGTAAGGAGTTCAAGACCAGCCTGGCCAACATGGTGAAACCCCGTCTCTACTAAAAATACAAAAATTAGCCAGGCGTGGTGGTGAGCTCCTGTATTCCCAGCTACTCGGGGGGCTGAGGCAGGAGAATCTCTTGAACCTGGGAGGTGGAGGTTGCAGTGAGCTGAGATTGCACCACTGCACTTCCAGCCTGGGCGACAGAATAAAACTCCATCTCAACAACAACAACAACAACAACAACAACAAAAGACCAAAAAAACAAACAAAAACAAAACAAAAAAACAGACTTAGAAACTCAATTTAATGGATATTCAAAAAATAAAAGGGCAAAAACATTAAAAAAAATTCTACAAATATTTATAGTAATTCAAAGATAAAGTGTATGGTGCAATAAAATCCTTAGTAATTAAAAAAAATACATGATTGTTCCTGCCCTCAGATTTCTCTGTGAGTATTGTATCCCCCTCCCTAGGCAGCTCTTGAGCAGTTCAAACTTTTATTAGGGGCTGCTCATTTAAATATACATCCTGAAGATAACACTCGCTCAGACACCCAGACTGGATCATTTGAGGAATGATAACACTAATTACAAGAACAAGCCCTAGAGACCTCTCTCTTTCTGAAAATTAATCTGAAGGCAAGTGCAGAAACAGTGGAAAAGAATATGAAACAGTAGGGTAGAATACAAACTCTCTGGTAATGTTTCTAAAAATTCTGGCTATTGAAAGGGGTGGAGGTCCACTTCTTCTTGAAAATCAAAGCTCCCATTCTTTACCTGCAACTTCTTTTCGGAATATATTCTGGGGACCTGGGCAGATTTTGCTGGAAAGTGAACAATGTCATATTAAATGACTTCATATTCACCATGACACAGGTAATTTTCTCCTGATAAAATTTCTTTTATAGAGCTGACCTTTTGGATTCATCTTCTTTGAAAGTTTGCACGGGGGCAGCAATAATCTGCTGACGTGCTGAAGGCCACAGCCCCTTCCTTACCTGTAATAACAATCTCTCATCGCCTATGACGGCAGCTTGGTTCCAATTAATCACTTCAGAGAATGGCAACTCCCATCCATTGCTGAGCATCACAGGGACGCAGGCAGCCTGAGCAAAAAAGGGGACTTCGTGAATGTGAGGAAAACGACAGCAGAAACTGTTCCAATCAGAGGTGAAATCAGTACAAATTCAATGACTGGCATTTCTGATATTGCGTGAATCCTGGACTGCCTAGGCCAGGAGGAAAGGAAGCTTTTATGAGTTATCAAGTCACACGAAGGTTGTACGTATCCAGACTAGATGTTAATATTTGCAAGTCTTGCCCTAGAATGCTAAAACCCCATTTCTATTCTAGTGCATGATCTGGCTGACCTTACTTCCATAGAGATGACTGGCCTTGCCTGAGAAGTTTTTACGGACGTAACAAAAGCTCACACCAACAAAATCTCAGTATAGAACCAACCTTGAATATAAACAGTCTTGTCAATGTAACTCCCACAAGTCCACGTGCAAAGTGATTTACCCGAATGTCATGAGCAACAAAGAGCAGAATGGAGCTCAGCATTCCTATATAGCAGTTTGTGGACTTAACAGTATAGAGTGTTCACATTTCCCTTGTTCTGCAAACACCTAAACCAGAACTTTGTTCCCTTCAGTGTGGAATGATCTAAACCACAGTCATACCAATTTACAGTCTGTGCCGGGAAATAAACAGCCAAGAAACACTAGGTTAATGACAAAATACTGATTCCAAATAACTCATAATCCAAATCAGAGAACAATTTTTCTTTATGCAACATCCCAGGAGGCTACAAGAACATGAGTGATGGCATGCTATGCAGAACACACACGGAGAGCAACTTGGAAAAGACATTCCAGAGAAGGAAGCTCTTCTGTTGGAGGGCATGACAGAATGATTTGCAGTTAAGATGGCAGAGATAAGAAGTTATGAAGCACTGTAGCAAAAGCACAGATTTAGGCATGGTGCAGGGAATAGAGGAGGAAAGAACACAGCAGCAAAGGGTCAAGGAATGGAGGATGAGAGAGGTTGAGGGCATGCTTTCTCTTGCAATCAAAGAAGGCTGGTTGCAAATTCCAGGTGGGAAATGTGGACGACTGTCTTAAGAGGACATTTCTGCAGAGTGAGGTTGATAAGCTGAGAAATTCCTACCACAAAGGCTCCAGGGGTGGAGCCAGGACCTCTGAACTGCAGAGCCTTGGAAGAGCTGGCCATCTGAGTAGTAACACCATGCTAGGGATCATTCTCAAAGTTTAAAGGAACTGAGAGACAATTAAGATGCAGGTATAAAAGACAATTTTGCTTTTCGGGAATAAAGGGAAAGAGTAGGGCTGCTTTTTAGAGTCCAGCTAGGCTGGAACATTCAGTTACCCAGGAAAAATATTCCTGTTTAAGAATGGTTGATATAACTTACAGGAGAAAGTGGAGGTGACAGAGATTGTCCAAGTTGGCAATCAGATTTGCCTTCTGTTTCTAAACATGACCCAGAAGAATCCACCATTTAATTTCTTACATCTAAAATTACTGAGTAAATCCTCCCTCCACCCCCTACTTTTCAAAAATGTTTTAGATTTTCTTGAAAATATTTTCAGATCCTCAAGGGAAACCACACCTTCTCTTTAGTTATCGCAGGAGAGGTGATAATGTTAAACCCGCTTAGTCTGGCTTCGGTCCTCAGCCCTATTCTGGGAAGGCTCCAGGGCCTCTTACCTGCAAAGCCTCCAGGAATCTGAAGGACCCAAGCCTGCGACCACGAGGAACCAGACAGAAAGTGGCATTGTGCAGCATTTCCCGATAATCATACCTAGAAAGAGAAGAGGAGTAATCAGCAAATGAAGACCCATTGCAAATGTGGGGATGTTGACCATAGGTGGGCGTCCATATGCATGAATTTACGCAGAGCAACTCGGGAAAGTCACCAGCAGGCAGCTCTCGTTTTTCCATTTTGAGGAAGGAGGTTGGGTTGCTGCATGAGGAACAAACATGAATCACCATGTTGGACAAAGCAATTAGGATCCCTTTTGCAAGCAGTAGATATAAAGACGAGTCTGATCATTCTGGCAACAATTTGGTTTGCCCAGTCTTTCCTTCCAAAATCAGATTTTTGAGTCTTGATAAAATATGTTGCCCCATAGGCTTAAAAAGAAGAAGAAAAAAATTACTGGTGCTTCTCCTTCTCCTTTAACAATATGGCATTCAGCAAAACTAAGACTGTTCTTGTTCCCTACCCCTTCAAAATCATGCTATCAAAAACTATTCAGAAAACCTCAGTCACAAGCACAAAACAATGTTTGTCTTCTCCTTCAAGACGGAGTTTCTACACTTAACCAAGAACAATCCGTTACCCAGGAAAAATGTTCCTGTTTAAGAATGGCCGACATAACTTACAGGAGAAAGAGGAGGTGAGAGAGAGGGATGCTAGCCTAAGAATGGGAAAAAAAGAATAACGAGAAAAGAAAAGAAAAGAAAAGAAAAAGCCTGAAATAGTACGGGGTACTGGAAACTGGTCTACAGAAGAGATGAGTTTATGTTACTCAAATACCATTTAATGACATTACATTGTTTTTGTATTTTGAAAAAAAAAATACAAAATATGAGTGTTACCTGACTCTTTACACCAGGGAAGTTTAAGAAAGATAAAAAGCATTTCATGTTGTTTAGGACTGTCACTTTTAAAATGATTACCACAAACACATTCCAACATAGGCAGTTTCAAGTACATTATGAGTTTAAGAAAACTTGGGAAGGTAGAGATGGCTCGTGTCCTGTAAAGGCCCCGATTCTTACAGCCAAGATGAAATCACTCTCATTTTTCAAGAGCCTCCAATGCTGAGCAGACAGGTGTGACTTTGACAGTAGCATATGTCACCACCATTTTCTGACTCTAATAGTCTAATTTAATCATAGCCTAAAGGCACTGAATTCTTCCCTCTTCTTTTTGGGATATTGGTATATACATTTATATTTTTAAAGTCCACATCTATTTTTATATTCTCATACAAACTAGGCATACGGGAGTAAGCCAATTTTCAATTATAAACCCGTCATTAAGAAGAGACATCATGCAAAGGACCATTTGCTTAAACAAGCGTGTACAACTAATTTGCACAAGAAAAGGTCACCGTGAATGGATTAAGATTATCTCCATTGAGAGTAAAAATTTTCTAAAACCTTTGCTGCATTAATTAAATTGCAAAATAGACTTCAAAGTAAAAAAGATTTTTAGGAAGGATTGAATTTAGTTAAATATAAAAATAATAATAAATTAGATGGTAGTGATTTCTTCTTCCTCATCAAACACAGGAAAATGGTTGACAAATATATTCAAGTTCAAATGTTGATAATGTCTGAATCTCTGCCTAATAGATGGAGAAGAGAGAAATGTGTATACACACACACACACACACTCACAAAAATATATGAATAAAGTTTAAGCTGATTTTTTTTTTAATTCAGAAAGGTCGAATATACTTCAGACTACAGCAAGATTTAATAAGTGCCCAGAATAGAAACCCCTGAGGGACTAGCACAGAAGGTCCTACATCCTCATCATTAGCCTACGAAAAATGTAAAATCCTATTAATGTTCTGCATTGTAACAAGTTTCAAAGTTGCTAGTTGCAGAATTTACTTTAGGGAATGTGTGGAGGAAGAGGAAGGGCAGAAAACTTATAGGAAAAATTAAAATGACAGTTATAGTAGGTTGCTTAAATGGTTATATAGAAGGACTATTTGCTGATATAGCAAGTAAGGTTGACATGATCGAAGCTTGTATTCCTTCACATCATAGGTAATTTGAGCTGTGGGAAGAATACCCTTGCAGGAATTAGGAAACCACTAGGTAGCTGTGAAACTTAATAAAACCCATGAGTTTTCTATCTGCTTCCTCATCTGCAAAATGAAATAATTGGGCTAGATGACCATAGATTCAGTTTTAGTATTCGATTATTCTTTATCTTATCATTTTTACAGAAGAAAGAGGAATGTCCTTTAAGAATATCCCACTGCTTGGGTTTCCATACCCATTATATGTATATGTATATGTACACAATTCCATACCCATATATGTATGTATATGTATGCTGTGCATGTCTAACATATGTGTATATGTTCATATGTATGCTGTGCATGTCTAACATATGTGTATATTCACATAGAGGCTCATACAGAACACATACACTCCTACCTTAGAACAACGATTTTCATTCAGATTTCTAAGCATGCTCAGCCCGTGAACCAGCCTCTCTCTTCTGCTCTCTGGACAGCGAGTCTATGAATAACTAACATGTTCTACCTGAAGGAAGAATGATGCCCCACAAGTGGGCAGACAACAATTCTAGTTTGACCGCATGCTTAGTCCTCTCCCACTCAGTCCATTGTGATGCTCATTCACACTGCACATCAACCTCCTTGTAGATGCTTAAATCCACTCATTTATTCATTCATTCTTTCAAGAAATATTATGTTTCAGACACTATCCCATGTGAACAGATGGAGTCCAGAGAAGGTCTTCTCTAGTTGCCGGAGCTACCAAAGAAGCACCTGACAATGAGAAAATGCTGATGAGATGACAATTGAAGATATAAACATCTCTTGGGAGTATTTGCATGACAAGAGGAGATTATAGAAGGCCCACCTTCCAGAAGAAACACAAAGAAGTCTGTGGACACTCTCCCCAGCAAAACAACAATTTAGTAACAATCATAAAAACATTTTAAGTCTCTGAGAATTGTCCTAAGGGGATAATGACAAATAGAGAAACAGTCATCCAAGAAAATCTACCAAATCTTGGCAAGAACCATGAGAGTCTGTGGCAACTGGTCCCTGATCTGTTCCATGACCAACCCCTACTAGCTCCGCCTTACAGGAGTTTTACTCTGGGGCAGTGCAGTCAGGGAGGCTGGGCTTTCAGTCCCCCCAGGTCCCATCAAGAAAGTGAAAAAGAGCCTACAGAAAGAGAGAATGGGCCGGGCACAGTGGTTCACATGTGTAATCCTAGCACTTTGGGAGGCCGAGGCAGGCAGATCACCTGAGGTTAGGAGATTGAAACCAGCCTGGCCAACATGGTGAAACCATGTCTCTACTGAAAATACAAAATTAGCTACTTGGGAGGCTGAGAAAGAAGAATCACTTGAATTTGGGAGGTGGAGGCTGCAGTGAGCCGAGATAGTGCCATTGCACTCCAGCCAGGGCAACAAGAGGGAAACTCTATCATAAAAAAAAAAAAAAAGGGGGGAGGGGAACGTATTTGCATCTTCTTGCTGCGGGTTTTCTAGAATACATAAGAACTCTTCTGATTCAACAAATAAAAGACAAATAATACAATTTAAAAGAGGCTAAGGATTTGAATAAACTTTTTTCCAAAGAAGACACAAAAGTGCCAATAAACACATGAAAAGATATTCAACATCAATAGTCATTAGGGAAAAGCAAATCAAACTACAATGAGATACCACTTTACACCCACCTAGGATGGCTACAAGCAAAAGGACAGATGAGAACAAGTGCTGATGAGGATGTAAAGAGACTAGAACCCCTCATACACTTCTAGCAGGAAGGTAAAATGATGCAGCCACTTCAGAAAATAGTTTGGCAGTTCCTTTTCAAACTAAAAATGGACTTACCATATGACCCGGTAATTGCACTCTTGGGCATGTATCCCAGAGAAATGGAAACTTATTTTCACGCAGAAACTTGTCCACAAATGTTCACAGCAGTTTTGTCTGTATAACCTCAAACCTGGAAACTACCCAAATGTCCTTCAATGTGTGAATGATTCAACAAAATTGTGGGTACATCCATAGCCTACATACTTCTCAGCAATGAAGTGGCACGACTATTCGATACACACGACAACTTCAAGGAAATTATGCTGCATGAAAATGTCACCCTGAAAAGCGTACATACTATAGAATCCCTTCTATATGGACATTCATGAAATCACATAGTTACAGGATAAAGAACACTTAGAGGTTGTCATTGTTGGGGAGGGGGAAAGACAGGAGAGCTTGAAGGTCAAATGGGGGGACCATAATGTTTTAAGATGAACTAATTTTCCCTCATTTCTGATGTTAGAAATGTAATCACACGGCCGGCAGTGGCTCAAGGCCCTGTAACCCAGCACTTTGGGAGGCGCCGAGATGGGCGGATCCATCGAGTCAGAGATCGAGAACCATCTTGGCCTAACACGATGAAACCCATCCCCTACTAAAAAATACAAAAAAACTACCGGCGAGGTGGCGGGTGCCTGTAGTCCCACTACTCGGGAGGCCCTGAGGCAGGAGAATGGCGGGAACCCGGGAGGCGAGCTTGCAGTGAGCCGAAATCGCCGCGCCACTGGCACTCCAGTCTGGGCGACAGCAGCGAGACCTCCGTGCCTCAAACCAGGTCAAAAAACAAACAACACCAGGCATGGCAAATCAAAAAACAAAAAAAACAAAACAAAAAAAAAGAATGTGAATCAACGTAATACAACACTCTTAAAAGAAACATATGATATCCTAACAGCAAGAAAGGTAAGTGGGTGGGGAGCAACTTACCGCCAGATAATTCGCCCGCTTCTAATAAAATGGTTTGTGTTACCCTTGTTTGGATTGGTTCCGGCGGCATCCCAAGCGTTGCCCCACTGTGGCAGGAAAGAAAGGACAGGAAAAGGTACGAAATGGAGTTTTCAAGCAAATGACTACAAACCAAAAGTGCAAAAAAAATTAGCATGACTTTGAAATCTTTAACCTAGAAAACCAGTACCCACTCCTATGGGCCATAAATAAGTTTTATACTTAAAGTTGTATTGAACAATGTATGG